AAAAAAAAGATTTTTAATGGAATGGGTATAAAAATTTAATTAAACTTAGTTATAAAACAGAAGACTAGTAAAACCTCATGTGTTTTTCTTCCAATATCCATATTAAATCAAAGTCATAGTCTGGTTTAATTCTTTTCTTTTTATGATTGACTTCTAAAATCGTGAAGGGTTGGTAAGGGGCCTTACAGAATTCAGCTTAGGGCTTCGAAATGCTTAAATCCGACCCTATGTCCTACACAAAATTACCGGCATTTTAAATTTTAACAAAATGTTTTAAAATTGACAGCATAACTTGTTTGTGAAAGCTGGACAATCGGGAAACTGCCAATTCTTAACAGTCTAATCCACTCTTTCAGAATTCAGAGCTCATAAATGTAACCGATCAATTTCCGAATAATCATCTGCTTTTCCCGTTTTTCGTGTGGGAATAGACGAAAACTTATGTCAGGCTCTCGTAAGGCTTTGAAATTGCAATTTGGAACCAACAGTAAGCGTTGCTTTTTCTATTGCTTTTCATCTTTACTGCTGATAATACACAAGAATGAATCAAACGACCCAGATAGAATAGTTTTGTTTTTAAACACCAGAGGGCGAGCATCCGGTGAAAAATGCGAATAGGCAGCCGGTTTGTGTGGGACGAACCACTCCCTGAAAAATTCCTGATGAATTTCTAGATTCGATCCCGTGTTCCTCAGAGCGGTAGGCTGCCATCTTGATCGATCGGCCATCTGGTCATGTAAGCAGTGGTGATATTCAGCGGGTTCGCACAGGTTCGGCCGAACCCGTTGTTAACATTTTCAAAGTTTTCCGAACCTTGTTAAACACACGTAACATTTCTCAGTGGTTTTGTTTCTTTTAAAAAATATATTAAAATACACGTATTATACTCTGTAACACTACTAAACTAGAGCCTTATATCGCGTTCGCCTTGGTACGACCTCCCTCGACCGTTTCAATCTCGACTGAAACGAGGTTCAATCGCGATCGACTCAAGAGAGTTCTTGAAACTAAATCCAGTCCAGCGTTGCCACGCCGATTTGCTTGCCATCGGTAGATTCATTAGGCAATTTTCGGTAGATTTCGGTAATTTTTCGGTAAATCGACTTTTTGTGGCAGAAAGCAGGTTGCACATAAACAATAACATTCTTTTTCGTCATTTTATTATACACTATAAAACAATAAAAAACAAAAAACTAACACAGAACACTTACGTAAAAAAATAATAATTTACTAATTAAGTAGGTACATTTTGTCTTATTTTTCTAACAAAATACAGTGTTACCTTTTATTTTTCGGATATTAATAATAATAATTATTATTCAATATCTTCCGTTTGTATGTTTTTAACACTGTTTCTTATTTTTGAAATTAAATTAACTTTTACAGGAAAATCGTAACAGTAATTTTTATCTAATTAATTTTTTAGTAAGAAGTAAGCCAGTGATTGTTTCAGAGCTCAGTTTATTTCCGTGTTTCGTGTTTAACAGATTTATTTACGAAAATATTTTTTCTACATTAGCTGAAGAATGAGGCAGACACAAAATATTCTCAACAAAACGAGACAGAATCTTTGCAATAAAGTTCTTACAATATATAAGAAATGAAGGTACAAAGAAATGTTTTATTGAGAATTTTTAGATACATTGAAAATAAAAATTTCTTTCTTGAATTATCGTAAACTTTTCGGTAGATTTGGTGCTTCAATCGGTAGATCGGTCCCAAAATCGGTAGATCTACCGAAAATTCGGTAGACGTGGCAACATTGCTCCACTGTAAGGTAATAAACTTCGTCATAAAAAAAATCACGGGTCTTCAAATAAACTCAAAAGGATACGAACATTTTAAAAATAAACCTTCGGGTTTAATCGAAGAAATGCGGTACCGGTAGTTAGTCTACTAACTATTTGAAGTTTTAAACTATTTAATAAATTTAGCAGATTTATAGCCCGAGTATCTAAGGCGATTGCTTGGCTGTTTTCTTATTTATTTATTTATTAATTTATAAACTGATGTTAAAAGTTTAAACTCAATAAATCATTACCTTATATAGACTAATGATTTTGTAGCTAAATTTTTTTAAAACTTCTAAACTCCTTGTTACTATTGTATTAAATACAGAATAAATTACACAAATATTAGAAATTTTGATTATTGAGTCAACTAATTTGTCATTCATCTCTTCAGAGCTAACGACGTAGCGACGCCATTTTATTTAAATAAAGAAATATATTTTATATACTTTTATATTGAAATAAAAATCTCCGTTAATAGTCGTTAATTTGTATTTATTCTGGAGAATATTCACAGACCACATTAATACATTATTTAAAACGAATGTAGGGAATTTAATGAGAAAAAATTTAGTCAGAATTAAAATAAATTAACACGAGATCTAGTTTAACACATTTTTTTCTCTTTCTTTAGACATATTTATTTTTTATTGTAATTTTTTAGTGTTAATTTTCTATATATTTTTTATATTTTTTGTCAATGATACTGTATATAGATTTTTAATCTCTCTTTTTATAATTCTTAATATCTACAATAGTAGGCCTATTATTAAAATAAGTAAGAATAATTTGTATTTACTTTTTAAAAAATCTTATAAAAATCTTAAACACTTTTAAATAACATTTCATATCATTTATAAATATAGGAAATGTATGTCATGGCACAGAAGATCGAAACTAGAGCGTTGTTTCTTTATTGTTTGCATCATCTTGATTATAGTTTTTATCACTACAATTGCTCTTATAACAGGTCTACATAATAAAAGTAACTATTTGAAATTATTTATTTATTATTACATAAAATTTTAAGTAAATGTTATAAAAGTATCGCAATATTAATTTTTGTAACGTTGTCCAGTAAGCAGAAATAAGTATAGTTATGCATAAAAGAAAGTAAATGATATAAAAATCTTTTCGAACAGATTCAAATAATGAAGTTCTTCCGAAAGAAAAAGTTTGTCTGAATCCAATCTGTAAGCAAGAAGGTAAGGCTCTTGATTTATTAATTCAAAAATCCTTTGAGGTAAATATTACAATAATTTTATATACAATTATTTTAAGAATAAATTTGATTTAGATTCGAAGATTTATTTTTTAGGTCGATTAATATATGGGTCTAAATAATTATGAATATTACTTTTTCGTTAAAAAAGATACTTAAAGGTATTAACATTCCGTAATATTTAGTATTTTCATTTCATTATAAAATAATATTTTGTAAAACAACATTAAGTGCTTTCAAACAAAAGTTAATGTAAATCTGACATAATATTTTTGAATTATTTAAATTCTAAATTCAAAGAATTTAACATGGTAATTTAAAGTAAGATGGTAAAACGCCAAGTGTTGTAATTTGTGACACTTATTTGTATTTGAGAAACAAAGAAATTATACGACACTGTTTCAAATTGTAAGATGATAATTTAAATCATCGAAATCTTACGAGATTGGATTGTAAACAATCAAGTTATTAGTACAGTACTATATAAGCCATACAATTAACTTAATTTTATAGGAAAATAGATTTTACTCGCAATTAGTTCGATAAGAGAAGTGAAAGATATCAATGACATGCTTATGATTAAACGTTCCACAAGAGAGAGAATCGCATTCGATCTTAATGAAGATTTCCACTTCTCAATGATGAGAGCATTAATGAAAGATCCTCATAATGACAAAAATTCATTCCATCTCATTATGTTACCAATAAAATCCTTAGAGGTAGAAACACTTCGATTTTCATACAAGATATGCTTCGCATAAAGGCGATTAAAAATTTATTTTTTTCTGCACTTTTTCATAATAAAGGCGTATTAAAAATCTATTCTAATATTTAATATTTAAGTTCGTTAATCACTTTGGAATAAGATTATATTAAGCTAAACTGCATTATACATCGGCAAATACTTAAATCAACTAAATAAAAACTTGATGATAAAAATTGCCAAGTGCCTGAAAATAAATACGATAATAATTTGTGTTTGAATTACTACTAATATTTTTACAGACGCTTTACTCTTGAAAAAGTAAGAAACATTAGCAAATATAAGATATAATCTATTATATACATGAAATAAATGAATAATATGATTTAAATTGCGTCAGAATAAATAAAAATCGACATTTAAACATGTATATAATTTTTCCTAAAAAGTGTCAAGAGTAAAAGTAAAATTCGAAGACTGCTTCTTCTGTTAAAACAATATATTATCATATGATTATTGAAGTTTTTTTATACGATACAATACGATATATTCACTTACAAATAAAAGTGATAAAAGTTTCTATAAATTTCATTGTGTCTGATTTTTATTTAATAATTTTCAGTTTATTAATAGAAGTAGAAAGAAAAAGAAATGCATAAATGTAACCTATATCATGTATAAATTTATAGTTTTACTGTTTCTATTTTCTTTCCTTACATGATTTTTTAAAATCTTCAATACATATTTATTGATTTATTATAAATAAACTTTACTTCAAATTAACATTGTTTAAGTCACGTTCCTGAGTTTTAGTAAAATTACGTTACTGCAAATATATTGTTAAGAAATCATTTAGAAGAAATCATTAACTAATTTTTAATAGATATTTCTTTCGCATATACGAAAAAAAGAAATGTTTATAGTACAGTAGATACAGTAGCCTACTAGAATTATATATTTGCACCAACTGGCATTCTTCATAAAGGGGCGTGAAAAATTTCAGCTAATTATGTATTTGAATAGTTAACACGTTTTATTTAGTAAATCACTTTAAACATATATGCAACTAAATATGTTCATAACAAAATGTACGTTTTCTAATAATGATTTCTAAACTATTACTTCTCTGCAATGCGGAAAAAGTTTAATCATTATGAGAATAAAGAAATTTTCCGTCCGAAGAAATTTTTCTGTGTAGGCATGTTTTCATTTTATTTAGTTCTGTTTTTGACAGATTTTATTGAATAATAGGCTATTTCTTACAAACAAACTATAAACTAAAAGATGATCTAAATACTTCGTTGTGTTTTTCCTGACTAGAATTACGAATATATTACACTAGACTAGACTAGAATATGAATATATACACTTTCAAGGAAAAATGCAACAAATTATTTACGGTTACTATCTAGCTTAAATATACACAAAGTATGGTAAAATATGTTTAATAAAACAAGTTGAGTGTAATTTATCTATTAATTAAAATCACAGAAAATTACTCATCTGTGATTACATAATTCAGGTAAAGTGGTTTTATAATAAGGACGCTTATAATCTATGTAAATAAGTAGGAATATAACTCATACCAGAATTTGCTATTAAGACTTGGCCGATTAATCCAAAGAATATTATATTAACTTATTTTTATGTCTTTTATTTAATTTTGTTTTTGAATAAAATATTTATAATTTTGATTCCATATTATTGTGAAATTGCGCTGGAGGATGGAAGAACAGTGTTAATGCATTTATATTTCTATAAACATTATGACGCCTTTTTAGTATGTCTTTCAATTTTTGATGCCTGAGGCAGATGCCTCTCTTCCTTATTCATCGGCAGAGCCTCTCTCAATATACACTCACTGCCAAAAGTTAAGCACAAAGCGATAAACTGCGAAAAAATAGACAAATACAGCTGTGATTGGCACGAAATGCGGCAGGATAGTTGCAAATATGTTTGTGCATGAAACAGCACAAAGAATTACATAGAAAAATGAAAATAATATTGAATTTTCATAAAGTATAAGATGAAATCATATTGGAATCATTAACAAAACGATGTTTAAATCCAAAACAAACAAACAAACAAACAAAACTGACATCAATAAGGTAAATGGTCACCCCTTATCCTTACACAAAGTTCACAGCATGTAACCATGCTTTCCATAAGGTGATCAACCACTCCAGAATCAAATAAGTGTCATTCCTCCTGTAGAGCAGTTTGCAACTCAGTGAGTGTGGCAGGGGGAAAACGTGCACACACAGCACGGCCGAGGGTATCCCAAAGATTCTCAATGGGATTGAGGTCTGGTGAATACGCCAGCCAATCCATACGCGCGATTCCCTCACTCTCGAGGCAGTCGTCGACGAGGGCAGCTCTACGGGGTCGTGCATTATCATCCATTAAAACAAAAGCAGGACCAACTGCTGCAGCAAACAATTTCACAATGGGTTCGAGGACTACATCCCGATACCGGACAGCCATTACAGAACCCCCTCGATTGATGTGCAAGTCGGTGCGATATCCCAAAGAAATGCCTGCCACACCATAATGCTTCCACCTCAGAATGCATGATGCTCGATGATGTTCTGGGGTCAATTGCATGTGCCTTTTTCTTTCCATACTCTTACATGTTTGTAATCTGGCTCCAGAGAAAATTGCAACTCATCCATGAACATAACGTTGCCCCAATCAGACACAGTCCAATTCACATGTTGCAGACACCACTTTAATCGTGTGCCTCTGGATTGGACGGATAGTGGAACACAAATTCATGGTACCCAGACGTACAGTCCGTTCATGTGTAGCCTTCGGCGCACAGTAGCAGCAGATATCGTTTTACCAATGGCTGCTGCAACCATTGATGTCACATGTGTAGAGGTTGCTCTTTGATTCTGCTTGGCTACAACAGCAATATAGTGATCTTCTGCAGGGATCGTAACTCTTGGGCGACCGGCCACAGGTCTTCAGACTACTGTTTGGCTTGTTTGGAATTGTTTCCATAACCGTGAAATGACGGAATGATGAATGCCAAAGAAAAGAGCAACATCTGTGATTGATTGTCCTGCTTCAAGGCATCCCACACACCACCAGCACTCACTGTCTGTCATTCGTATTCTGGAAGTCATAAAAACACATCAGTCATGCACACTAATTGTACAACAGTTCTCCACACTTTTTCTCGGCACTTACATGCAACTCCTCTCACACTTCAGAAGGCTGGCTTCTTATATGACTGCATCTTTTGCATATTTTGTGACACGTAACCATGATTGATAGTAACGTAACATATTTGCATACTTCCACCTACCTCTGCAGTGAATTGCAGCCTCTCAAATGCAGATTGCTTTCCGGACATAAACATTTTCTGCTCCGTGCTTAACTTTTGGCAGTGAGTGTATTACGATTATTGATACTAAAATTTATCTAATTTTGTATTACAAGCTGGAAGAATTCTTCAAAACATGGATACTTCAGTCAATCCATGTGATGATTTTTACAAGTTTACTTGTGGATCTTATCTAAAGTACAGAGATATTTATAGCGATTGGATCGATCCCGATACAGAATTAAGAGGACATATAAAATACTTACAAAAAGGTAACTTTCTGTTAAATGAATTTATTTATTCAACAACTCAATGTAAGATTTGATAAACAAAAAAATTACTTAACGTTTAAGTCCATGTTCATTAAAATTAATAAATAAAAGATAATTTCTTAATTTGAATTAAAAGTAATCATAAATCTAAAGTTGCATTTTACGATTATCGGGAGGAGCAAAATAACAGTTGCATAATAATTTATGATATATATATGAAAAATAAAATTAATTCTTTATGCCGAATACTTGAATTTAATTCATTTTTACTGAATATATAAACGAGGAAAATTTAAGTTCGGAATGATCAAAATTAAATTTATCTTTAAATTTTTATACACGTAGATCCGGTGTAGAATTAATGCAGAAAATTAATTTATAAATTATAATTTTGTCAAATAAAATATAAACTTAAAAATACGTTATTTAATTAAGCTTAATTTTCTACTGTAAAACATTATAAATGATTTTTTAGTTAAAGACGTTTTTAAAATAGCAAAATAAATTTAATTTATAGATTATTTAATGTTTCATTTAGAAAAGTAAACAGTTGTATGTAAAAGATTATTTGATTTAAAACTTTAGAAAGGCCCATATAAATTTCAATATAAGACTGAAATAACACTTTTTCTGGTATGTAAATGATTTTATTACGTTTTTAGAAGCTTTGGAAAAACCGGAGGAATCTACAAAAACTCATAATTATATAGAGAAAGTGAAAAAGTGCTATAAGTCATGTTTAAAGAAACGTAAGTGTCTAATTAATAATAATAACGATTTAAAATGTTAATTATTTAAGTTATAAATATCCAAAAATTTTATTGATTTTAAAACAATAATTCATGTTTATAAAATTGCATTTTAGCTACTTCTGTTAAGCAAATTCTGGATGATATTCTCGATGCGCTTCAAATCTCAGGTTGGCCCTTTACTGAATATCCTCGCGATAAACATTTATCCATTAATATAGAAAAAATCCTGGCCAAACATATGTTATATAAACCGACTGGGATATTTTACCAAGCTCTCTCACACATTCAGAACGATACGTTGCAGTATATATACGTATGTATAATGTTTTTAACATAATACAATAGAATTTACACTTAGTTTAAATTACTGATTGACCAAACTAATATTTATTCTGTCATAATTATAGGATTATATATCTAACTATGAAGAGTTAGATATATATATGTTTAGGAATATTGTTTTATTTTTTAGAAGACAAAAATATAAAGTACAATACAATCTCGTTAATCCGATAGATATGGAACCGGAATAATGTCGGATTACTGAAAGTAAGATGAATTCAATAGTTTAAACATTCGAAATAAATTGTTTATTTGAATGATTTTAACACACTGTATTAAGTTGGACAACTGATAAGAACATATAAGCGCACTGGGTCGCTGGTAATCATTGCCAAGTTGGTGGATTCTCACTATATTTAGTGGGAAATTGAATCGACCGTGGAAAATTTAATTAGAAAATAAATGGAAGATCCGGTATTTTTAGTGGAAAGTTTCGGGGAGTTGATTTTATATTTAAATATTATTATTATAAGATACTATACCTGTTTTGAGCAGCTCAAGATGATGAGCCTAACAATCTTTAATATCGTCAGCAAGCTCGAGTAATCAAGATCGAGCTCGATACCATGCCATGTTTAGTGGAAACTAGAGTTTACACTAATGCAAGCTTGTCTATGACTTGGCAACAGTACCAGTAATACCCAAGAGTAGCTAGTGCCGGATTACTGGCAATGTTTAACTAGCGAAGGACCGGATTACTGAGATTGTACTGTAATATTATATCGAATAATACAATAGATCGAAAGAATTTCATAAAGTCTCCTTTAGTATTCTTCACTTACATTCGATTTCACTCCGTCAATTAAATCAAGTAGTTACATTTCATTTATGTTCTTGTATTCCTTTATCCAAACAGTAAATACTATTTTTGCATGATAAATGATTTATTTCGAAAAAATTATAATTTTTGAAATTTTCAATCTCGAATTGTTCAAGAAAAATTTTAATTATAGTTGTTTGCATCATTTGAAAATATAATAGTAGAAATAAATATTAATTCTTTATGCCTCAATCTCCTTAATATTTCAATTTTATTTTTATATTGTCCACAGGTGAAAGTAAAGATACTTTTGTTTTATTTTTTACTAAGATTTCCTCCCTTTACTAATTCGAAACTACGCCAGTATAATAAGTTCTATTTATAAACAAGGTTTACGTGTACAATATTAAAAACATTTATAATAGTGGTAAATTAAAATAGCAAAGACTTCTAGAATTAAAAAAATATATATTTATTGAATGGCACAAATTGAAAAATAAAACCGGTACTATGCTGTGTACTATGCCGGACCAGAGTGAAGGCATAGTACTCAGCTACCGGTCAATTAAAGAAGTGTGTCAATGTGTGTTTCTGTATTCAGGAATTTCCTAACAATATGACATGTATTCAATATAGTGGCCTTCTGTAGTGAGATATATGTATTTCTATTCAATTGTAATGTTCCCAGGCTTTAGTGTAGGTATGACTCCTGTAGAGGAGAGAACGACAGGTACAATAAGCACCCTATCCATCCTCCACAGATGCCTTATTTTCTGGATGGGTTCTGTGTACTTGCTAATTTTTTCAGTAGATGTGTTTTGTATATTGTGAATGTTTGGAATGGATATGTCTACAATGTATGTGAATTTATTGTGTTTGTCAATGAGTGTGATGTCTGGTCTGTTGTGGTAAATTCTTTTATCTGTGATTATGGCTTTTTCATAGTACATTTTGTGCGTGTTGTTTTCCAATGAATATATTCGTAGGTCTCTAATAATTTGTTTATTTGCAAGCTCTTGGTGTATTATATTTGCTATTTGATTATGTCTATGTAAATAATCTGTCTGTGCCAAGAGCTTGCAACCAGAAGTGATGTGTGGTATGGTTTCGGCATGATGTGACATTTTCTGCATGTTTTATTTGTGAGTGTTGTATTTTTGAGTGTGCTTTCTGCAGTTTTTAGTATTTATGACCTGATCCTGTATGGCAATCATAAACACTTCTGTTTCCCCAAAGAGGCATCCCCGCGCTAACAGGCTGTTTGATGCAGTTTTATCAACAAAATCCTGGGCCAGCTCGTAGGGATGCCTACGATCTGGCCCAGGATTTTGTTTATGACCTTGTCCAGGTTATAAATGAAACAAATACTAAATCAATTTATATAAAATTATAAAATAAATGAATTAATCTTTCATTACGAAAATGTTCCATGAAGTCTTATATATTTGATAATTCACAATTTAACTAATAATTTTGAAAAGAAACTATTTCAAACATTGTATATAACAAGAGAATTATTTCGTGTTCAGAAAAGAACGCCAAAACAATTTATTTAAAAATAATGAAATTTTATTCTGATAATATTTATTGTTCTTTTAATGGATTATTTTGAATATTTAATTAAAAAAATTGTACATTGTTATATAAACCATAATTCGATGTTAAATTAACTTGTGCATGTTTCAAGATGAACATGGGATATTCTGCCGTTTATAGTTATGCGTTTTTGAATGATACAGACGAGTATTTAGTCCAACTGAAAGAGAAATATAAAAGTTTATTTCGATATGTTTTTATACGTATTGGATTAGACCCAACCGACATTAACGAGATCATGAATGAAATAATAGATTTTGAAACACGTTTAGCAAAAGTGAGTATTATTTGTGATTTTATAATAGTTTAGAAATTTAAAATTGAATAAAACACATTAAAAATATATTTTTCATCACATAATTTTCGATCAGATGACTGAAAACGTAAGTTATAATACGACGATGGTTACTATTAGCAATCTGGATAGTATATGCAATCAGGTAATCTAGAATACGAATCCCAACTCTATATATTAAATGTAATTTATATTATATTTTACTTAATTGATATTCTAGATTAAGTGGTCTGATGTTTTTAAATTTTTATTCGAATATATGGATCATCTCCAAAATTACAGTAATGCCATTCAGTTAGAAGTTAATTTGGAAGTAATGATGTCATTATGTAAATTATTTGAAAATACAAAACCTAGGTAAGCTATATCTTTTGTATACTTAGAAAATGTTTTAAGTATAATTTTCCAATGAATATTACTGATTGATTTTTTCCATTTTTTACAGAATTATCTACAATACAGTTATTTGGAACATAGTTATTAAATATTTATATGAATTGGATTTTATATTTCGAGAACTTAGTTTTGACGAGAAGCGAGGTATCGCAATCAACGTATTTACGCCAAAATCTTACGAAAGACAGAAGTGGAGAGAATGTATAAAAGACTTCAGATTGCCATTTAGGTTCGGATTGGAATATTACATGTTGGAATATACACAGGCCGTAGAAGAAATAAAAGAAGTAAAATTATATTTAAAGAAATAGCAAATTTAAAACATCAGAGCATTATATTATAAACGCTATGAAATGATTTAATGCATTTAGATAGAAAGTTATATGAAAGAAGTATTGAAGGCAACAGAAGAAATAATTTCGGAAAAGAAATGGATCGACGATTATAGTAAAGATATATTAATATCCAAGGTAACTTTATAAAATTTAATATAATTTTATGAAACTTAAAATTAAGTAACGTGCTGGATTTTTTTGACGAGATTTATGAACTAAAATTGTAAACAGTTTGTTTTATACAACTTTTTATTGTTATTGTATGACTTTAAGTAGTTTTATTAAACTTATGAAAAATCTTTTGATTTTAGCCTATATAAACTTTTATTTATATTTCATTTAGGTAAAAAATGTTAAGTATCGCATTGGATATACGAATTCTTCTTTAATTATACCTATGCTAACCGAAATTTTCTCAAAAGTAAGTCTAAAATCTATAAACATTTTTGAAATCGAATGCTTAATTTACATAAATAGTAAATGTAGGTGCTTTATTTTTATTTATTTATTTTTTAAACAAAGTGTCAGATTTTTACATCCTACGCTAAATACTATTTAAAAGACACACACAAATATTTAAAATTTTAAAATTAAATTGATCAAGTACAAAGAGAATTTTGTTAATTCTTAGATACTTTTGTTTAAATGTTTTGATTATTTTCAAATATTTTAATAAAATATAAAATGTATTTTCATAAATGTACCAATTAAGATATTTAAATGGTTAAATGGATTTGTTATAATAAATTTTCATTTATTGTAAGAGAGAGATCAGTAACATAACTAGGGTGGGCCCAGGAAGTGTAATAAAAGTTAAATAAAATTATTGTTTTTTGTTTTATTTATTTATATTAATTATATTTAATACAGTATTTTTCATTTGAAAATTGATTATAAAAATAATTTTTATGTTTTAAAGTTATTTTTTATTTTTAGATTAAAGTAACAGATAATCACGTAAAAAATATAATAGAAACAGATAAATATATAAACACAGATAGATTTTTTGAAAGCACATTTTCAAAACTTAATTCTAAACGGTAAGTTTTTGAGCTTAGTGCATGATAAATAATTAAGAAAAAAATTGGTATTGAATCTATATAAATTTACTTTTATAGAGAACGATTTGATACGTTTAATGTGAATGCCTATTATTCTGATGAAAATTCAGGACTTATCAGTAAGTAAAAGTTTATTTTCGTCTTCTTTCTAACTTTATTACTAAGTTAATAGGAATTTTCATTAATATATTTTTAATTTAATAAAGCGAGACTGTTCCTTCACACAACTTTTCTAAATTAGACTGTATAGTTAAGTTTATTAAATGATTATTTTAAAATTACCTCACATACCTCACGTAGAAACACTAATAAAATAGCAGAAACAAATAAATTTAAATCTTACGCTTAAACAAATTTCTTAAAATATTTATTTAACTACATTAAAGATACACGAAAAATTTAACATGCTGCTCACTAATTCCCACTAAATTTGCACACCTTCCCATTAATCGTGACATGATATCGAGTTTCAGCTTTGGCACGATATTGAATATCATATCATTCTCCATCTTAGGATGCTCAAAAATGATTGGTACCATCTTATAACACAATACTGAATAAATTCAAGGGTGAGTCCCCGAAATTTTCTACAAAACTGTACCACCCATTAAATTTCCCACTAATTTATATGGGAGTCCTTTAACTTGGAACTCATATTACCAGTAATCTCTGTGCGCTCGGATGACAAAACGGCATAAGACAATTGAAAATTATTTCAAAAGTATGGACGCTTAATTTAAGAACTCTAAAATATAGTGATATATGATTGTTCTTATTTTATATTTTCGTACTATTCCACATGTTTTTGACGTTCCCTGAACACCGGGAATTTGGTTATGGATTAGCGCTTCGCCAGGACGGGCTGGCTACGTGGAGCTTTCCGAGTTTTTCTCCACGTCTGTAACGCCTGAATAGGGGCCTGTTACCCTTAAACAACCTCCCGGAAGGCGTCAGATCGCGCAAGTGTTGCATTGCCATAACTTATAAAACCAAATTATACGTTTTTGATTAATACAATGTATTCTTATCGTGCAAATAAATAAGTGTTTTCTTTCCGAATAATTAAACTAGATTTTCAACCGAAATGCTACAATGACATTTAAAGTGGTGCCGCGAAATATAGTGCTGAGCAGCTCCATAACACTTCTTATGTGTATTACCAAAAGTACACAAGACGCAACAGTTCTACATTGATAAAGAAGTAGGATTCCGTAAGAAAAAAATTACCAAGTTATGTTGTCACAATTAGAAAAGACGGAAAAACACTGGATTAAACAATTGAAATCACCTTAATTCCAATAATCCAGTAGTTTCCTTAATCCGACACTATTCTGGGCACATATATGTCAGATTACCTCAACTATACTGTAGTTAAATTATTTAATTAATAAGATTTAAACCATCCAAAGTTTATGTATATTATTTTTTAATAACTCGCGTAGCTATACCATTAGGAATAATGCAGCCACCATATTTTGCATACCGTGCCCCGAGGTAAGGATGTTAATTACTACTTACTAAAACTTCAGTTTAATAAATTAATTAAACTAATTTTAAATATTTCTATAATAGATATCTAAATTATGGCGGAATTGGTAGTACGATTGGCCACGAGATTTCCCACGGCTTCAGTGAATTGGGTTTGTAACTTATCCTGATCTTAATTATTGATGTTTTAATTATTAGGATATGTAAAATTTTTTCGTTGCTGAAATTAGTAATAAAATTATTTATTTTTAATAATTCATATATTCTATTTTATTACAGAACGGGTGAAAGTAAAGTCAGGAGGAAACGAAAAAGTAGTAGATTGGCCGGATAAATTTTTGAAGGAATTCGAAGAAAGAAAAAATTGTTTAATAAAGCAATATTCGAAACTTCCATTAGAAGGAAATATCACTGTAATTTCAGATTATATATTTTATTGTTTTAAATAAAAATTTAAAGTTTAACTGTATTGTACTGTACTTATTGACATTTTCAGATAGAGGGAAGGCGTACAATCGACGACGATTTTTCGGATAACAGTGGTACGGTTATAGCTTATCGAGTAAGTTTTTATTTCAAATATGTAAAAATTTTAGAATTATTTCATTTTCTAGAAATTTAATAATTGTTGTTACAGGCTTATAAGAGATATCTTCAGCAACATGGTAAAGAACCAAATCTTCCAGGTCTCGATTACACGAATGAACAAATGTTTTTTATAGGATTTGCTCAGGTTATTAATAGAAGAAATGTTAAATAATAGTAGATCTTATATATATCACTTAATTAGGTTCTAAAATAAGCATATGCTCTTTTTTAATTTGTTGAAAATGTATTTGATAATGTAACAAATTTTAGCTAATCATTTTTAATAGTGAAAGACACAAAAAGTCTAGATTAGCATGGAAACTTTAATAATTTACTAATTAATAATGAATTATATAATAAAAATACTTTCACTTTATTTATTTATTTATATTTGTTGACAATGTAATAGGCCTATTTAAAAGTATCGTTTTTTGATTTTAGGAAAAATGTGAAAAAGTGCAATCCCTGTTCGAGGTTTATGGCAGGGAGATGCACAGTCCTAATAAATATAGGTATTTGTACTTATGCAAACTTATATTATATAATTTTAATACATATTATTTTTTATAAATTAATAAAAAGCAAAAAACGGATACTGTAAATTTCTTAGTTGTTCTCAATTACAAATTTTAATAAGAAAAGCTTTATTTTTTCAGAACCTTGGTTCCTTTAATGAATTTCAAAGAATTTTCGAAAGTCTTCAATTGCCCTTCAAATAGCTACATGAATCCCGAACAAAAATGTGAGGTGTGGGACTAACACAAAGCGCGTAATTCTGCTTGTGAAATATTTGTATTTTTTAATAAATTCATTTTGAATTTGTTCAGTGAGTGAAATATAGTATTTATTTTTTATAACTCTTTGCTCCGTGTGACACTAGGAAAGTTTTTCAAGCTCATTAAGAGTTTTACCAAGCCTACAATGAACAATCAAGGGATGAGTGACGGAGCCTTTCNTTGTAAATATTCTAAAATCCATTATGGATCCTGCAATAAATATAGGTATTTGTACTAATGCAAACTTATATTATATAATTTTAATACATATTATTTTTTATAAATTAATAAAAAGCAAAAAACGGATACTGTAAATTTCTTAGTTGTTCTCAATTACAAATTTTAATAAGAAAAGCTTTATTTTTTCAGAACCTTGGTTCCTTTAATGAATTTCAAAGAATTTTCGAAAGTCTTCAATTGCCCTTCAAATAGCTACATGAATCCCGAACAAAAATGTGAGGTGTGGGACTAACACAAAGCGCGTAATTCTGCTTGTGAAATATTTGTATTTTTTAATAAATTCATTTTGAATTTGTTCAGTGAGTGAAATATAGTATTTATTTTTTATAACTCTTTGCTCCGTGTGACACTAGGAAAGTTTTTCAAACTCATTAAGAGTTTTACCAAGCCTACAATGAACAATCAAGGGATGAGTGACGGAGCCTTTCCAGGGCAGACCACTCCCGAAAAATTCTTAAGGTTTTTCAATTTATCAGGATTCGATCTCGGATCCCCGAGTAGTAAGCTGACATCTTAAGCTGCATTAATGACATTTTACAAAAAATCTGAGAAATACAGGGTGTCCATAAAGTGCGTGTGCAATTCAAAAAATTTATAACTTTATCAGTATTTGTGATAGAAAAATTATGTAGAATGTATTGGAAATAAGAAAATCTATATATTTTTAAATTATTTTATTGTGTTTTATTAAGTTTCCACAAGTCCACCATCATTTGTAATACAAAGGATAATACGATTATGTAGTTATCTGAAAACATTTGCCAATTGATTTACAGTAATGTCTGAAATCATATTAGTTATTTTAGCTTTCAAGTCCTCTAATGATTGAGGTTTGGTTGCATACACTATTGTTTTCACATTTTCCCCATAAAAAAATCTAATGGAGTCAAGTCTGGCGAACGTGGAGGCCAGGAAAATGGTCTACCTCTTGCAATCCATTACTAAATAATTTTACTTAAAACTAGGTACTTTTAGCTGTCTAATATTNCTGAAATCATATTAGTTATTTTAGCTTTCAAGTCCTCTAATGATCGAGGTTTGGTTGCATACACTATTGTTTTCACATTTTCCCCATAAAAAAATCTAATGGAGTCAAGTCTGGCGAACGTGGAGGCCAGGAAAATGGTCTACCTCTTGCAATCCATTACTAAATAATTTTACTTAAAACTAGGTACTTTTAGCTGTCTAATATTTTTTAGACTTTTTCTATCACAAATACTACCAAAGTTATAAATTTTTTAAATTGCACACGGTCTTTATGGACACCCAATATATCAAAATTTATAATAAAACAACCTAGCTACTGAGAGGTGTTTCAAATTCATATAGTCATATACGAACATTGTTGTCATGTATGTGATGAACGAACGAAATATGAAGTTACTGAAGACTAGAAGAAAACTGATGAATTTTTATAAACTATTACTATCTATTATCAGCATTCTTCAAAAATTGAATATGTAAAAGACTCAGAAATTATGATTTTGTAATTACTTCAAAGCATTTTATATACCACAATATACCACAATATGTTGTTTTAAACTTTAGATGTTTACTCTCTTACTTATTAATTTACTGCATAGTTTGTTCATTCTTGTCCAGCTCACTCTATAGTAACCAAACTTTCACCTTTACGCTTAAAATTATATTTTATAATCGTCACTAAACGTTTTCGGTCCTATTTATAAGCCCTCTTCGGGTATTGTATCTTTCCGTTTTAGAATAACCCAAATTCTCCGAATGATTTCATATCAAATTTTCAAAATGTATTGTATATTCGAAGAGTAATGAAACGACAGGTAAATAGGTTCTTCGTAAAACTATGTGTAAAATGTATGATTATTTTCAAATATTTTATTCCAGAGACAATGCTATAGAAGCATTCTTCGTAATAAAAGTTGTTCCGCTTATATATTGTCTTCAATTAAAGTGACAAAGCACCTAGTCCTAACTATTTTCAGCGAGTTTATCCATAGCTATGGGAGGCATACGTTGCGTATTCTAACATTAAACAGCATATAAGCGTCTAAGAGAATTAATATTCAATGTATTTACGCGCTCGAATACACCAACCAAGCCTCCCATTATCTTTTGCTACTGAAACTTTGTATTAAATATAGTTAACATTAGAACCCAAGTCAAAGGTTAAAAGGCTATAGTGGATCCGGGAGTAACAATTAAGATATCAGATTTCGTCAAATTCTCGACGTTCTCCAATAATTTTCACATATTTTCTCACAAAGTTTCCTATTTTCTCCATCGGATGACGTTACATTCAGAAGAGATATGAATAACAAATAGTGAATAATATAGAACTATTTTTAAAATTAAACTTATGAATTTTGGGTATAAGTTTACCGACGAACAATTATTTTACTTTTAATAATCCATCTTTTATTTCTCTGATTAATGCAAATCGTTCAGAATCTATCTTCCAATACCCAGAAATATTATATTATTTGCATAAAAACAAGTTGTTTTATTAGAATTAAAGTTCGTTTACAATAACAAAATTTATATTTAATTCTACAATAATTCGAAAAATTAAAGAAAATATAATAATTTACCAGAATTATCGATTCACTCGCATTTACAAATTAACATGTTAATTTAAATATATATATGCGACTTAATACAATACATCATTTTTAAAAATATATAATAAAAGGAAAAAAATATATAAATTTTCTTTTATTGTAAATATTCTAAAATCCATTATGGATCCTGCAGAATGAAAATATTTTGAATGGTGTCCAGTACCATCCCGTGCATGGTGGAGGCAATCAATGGACGTTATTAGGAAATTCTGAATCACCCAGCCTACAGTCCAGATCCATTATCGTTCTATTATCGCCTATTTGATTCTTTAAATGTCAAACAGGTGATAATAGAACGACGATTGGGAAACGAACCACTGCCTGAACATCTGAAGTTAGAAAGTTCTTAATGCAGTGGCTCCGACATTAATGAAAATATTTCTATTTTTCAGGCATACCATCGTTGCCTAAACGATGAGAAAAATGTCTGAATGTGAGAAAGGAGCATCCAGAGGAAAAAATGAAAAAAAAGAAACATAGATTGGAACTATGTAACATACGCAGTTCCATCACTGTTATTGAAATTCCGAATAGAAGTTGAATCATTTTTGTATTATTCTTTGATAGAACTTATCAGTATAATGACCAGAATAAATACTATAACGTTCTCTCAGTTTAATTAGAAATTAAACTTGGTACAATGAAAAGACTAAATATTTATCTCATAATCCTTTCTTCAGATTATCATTTAAATTAGAAATTTAAAATATGTTTTTAACTTAAATGTTAATTGTTAACACTATATTTATGTTTAGAAGTATTTTTATTAGAAAGGTCAAAGGTCAAAGAATGTAAAAAATTTTTACATTCTTTATATGACATCCTGGTTTAGTTATTTTTCATATCGAATTTCCTATATATTATTTAAGTAAATCTATTTATATTTATTCATAATAAACTTTAGTCAGGAGGAATGTATCTATCTTCTCTAATTGAAATCTGGTTGAATCTTGAAGTTTTTACATTTTTAATGCTATAATTATAAATTTGTATTAATTCCTTTTAATTATTTGAAAAGTTTAATTTATTTACGGTATCAAACTCTAATAGAAATTTCGCGTGCATACTGTCATTTGAATAATTATGTATACTATGAGGATGTTTTGTTGACGTCAAATTTGATCTTACCCATAACAAGTCTAGAAGCATATATGAAGGATAAGAAAAGAATTACTTTCGCTTATCATAATTATCCAAAAAAAAAAAGATTATCTTCTGTTATGATAAAATGGAATAACTAATTAATAATTTTATTCATACTGTAAAATTAATTTAAGCATAAGTCTTTTCCATGATTATTTAAGTCTTAATCATTAAAAAAAAATTAAAATTAACTATTTATATTAAAAAATTTTTAACGCTTAACATTAATTATTAAAATGAGGAGCAATTAAATTTTTTGAAATTAACAACAAAAACGTTGCTGTAAATAGTTAACATAAATTTCAAAAATTTTATAAATTCCAGTTGTATAAACCAAAAATAAAGTTTATTTTCTTTATAAAAGAAATATATCTATATAAATTAGTATTATGTGTTTAGAACAAAATGTATACAAAATAAATAATACATATCTAATAAAATGTACAACACCCACCAAAGGAAGCTCTTGAATATAATTTTAACAACCAAGGACAGACTTATTAGTGTCAAATCTATATGGAGCGATTGGATCACTGGCAGAATCCGTTCAGATGTTATAACAACAACAATGAAGAAAACTGTTCCTGAATAGAATATGCCAAAAATTAATATTAACAAATTATATTGGATTCTTTATGATAAAGAAATAGAATTTGAAAACGGAATAAATCAGCGATCAAAGTCCTGTTAAAATGTAAGTAATCAGTTATATTTTTAATAGTAAGTTCTTACTTTGGTTGTGAAGTATTGATATTTTACCAAAACGCATTAATTTATTAATTTAATTCGATGTTAAACTGAAAATTAAGAAAAGTTTATAACTACTTTTTTTTATATAACGACCGAAACTAAAATAATATTAAGTTTTCATTTATTATTAATTCTTTGTAAATGAATGGCTTGACGCTTGACGCGTGCAACTCAAAAATAAAAAAGCAAATAACCCGTTAATGATGGTTATTAATAGATTATAATGAAAACTATTTGTTAAAAGGAAATTACACTTAAAATAATTCGGCACTTGTACTATTTTAATAACGCTTGTATAATTGTTATGCTTGTTCTTTCTAGCAAATTTTATTTTTAATAATCAATGACTAAAATCATTTGGTATTTAAAACTTCAATTTTCTCTGTTTGATAGTTTATCTTACTTTGTTTTTGTATTATAATGCAAATTTAACTGCTAATTACATGAAATATAAAAATTCAAATAATTACCAACAAAATATTATAAAAGTTAGGTTACTATTATTATTATTTATTTATTTATCAAATGTTATGTTTATTCCGAAATATTAGTTGTTTTTATGTATATTTTGTTTCTTATATAGTTCAAGAGACATGAATATGAATATGTTCACTCTATATTCTTTATATGTTCGAAATAAAGTATTATGGCTTAAAGAAATAAGAGAGTTAATAAAGAATTAAAATAATGACAAGCATATAGCATAAATACATTTTTTTCTTATGAATCATTTCCAATAACGATCGTGAAACTTAATTCATCTTGTTCATTTACGTCTGTATTAAATTATCTCTCTCTAAACTTGTTAGTTTGAAGTTAATATATGCAACGTGAAGACAGACTTCAGAGATAACATAAAATTATAATGTAAAAAGTACTAGATGTAAAAGTAAAGTAACTAAACTTATAAACGAAAATGAGATAGGAAGAACTCGCATAACAGAGGAATTTCATATGGTTTTATTAATTTTTTATTGCAAATATCATAATAATAGTTAACAATTATGTCATTTCATAATTATAATTTTTATAATAAAAATATTTCAATGACACAAAAATAATGCAAGAAAATTAACTAAATGAAATGTAGAAAATTTTTAATTTCGAATATTAATTTCCAGTTAATATTTATTAACTTAATTTAGTTTATTATCCATATTTTTATTTTAGTTTTGTATCAATGATATCGATTTACATTATTAGTTAATTAGTTTTTAAAATTTACCCTAATTTATATTTAATTTTTTAAACATAATTTTTGTATCTCATTAATTATGTTTTAAAATATAAATATATATATTCTGATATACATTGACCAAAAACTTTTGCTATCAAATATAAAGAATAATATTTAATGTATTATAATATATTCCTCGTTGATCTTTATATTTATTTTACTTATAAGAACTATTCTTGTAATTAGATTACTTTATTCACTATGAACAGGAAGTCTGGGAAAATTCCCAAGATACTAAATGAGGAGATATTTAATAAAATGAAGGATAAACGGAAAAAACAATTAACTTATTTATTAGTTTAAGGAATATTAAAAACATAACTCCCGTTTTAATTTTTAGATTTTAGTGTTTTCATAATTAATGTTACTTGACGCATATTCGGAAATATAAGGTATAGTCTACTAAATATTGAAAGAAAATGATTATTCAAGAGAATTTATCTATGTATTAATAAATTAAATAATATATTTTTATTTATTTATTTAGCATTCTGGTACAAAGACCCTGATGCGGGGATATAGCATAAAACAAAGTATACAAAAACATTACAAAATAATATACACATTTCACAGATTATATCCGTCCATTGCAGTAACATAATTTAATATTAATAGAAAATTACACAATTCAAAAAATTATTTTAAACCAAATTCAACAAAAGGAAAAAACAAAAACTTAAACTACATGGGAGAACTATCCGAAAAAAAAAATAAATAAATCCGAAAAAAATAAACAACCAACTAGGTTAAAAAACTTACCTAAAAAAGAAAAACAACAGTTTATATCGCTCTTTCAAAAAAATCGGATAGTCTCCCAAGCAGTCCAAGCAACCACAGGTTAAATAATAGGCAGACCACGCCCCAAACCGAAATTTACATAAAAAATAACCACTATTTTCACTTTAAGCCTAAGAACAAAACAGAAAAAATCAAATATATTATAAACATTATGAAATAAGCAATTTAACCTTCTTTATAAAAATAAATACCTTAAAAAATAAATCAAAATCAGAAATAACTTTTTTAAACTGATTAAATGAAAAACAGGGAACCCCAAAGGTCTCCTCACGTAATTTTGACAAAAAAGTACAAACAGCGATAATATGAAACGCATCCAATGGCGAGTCAGCCACACCACATACGCAACTGTCTCTTCTGTAATTACATAAAAAACTTAATGAATTACACCTTATTTGCATTAATACAGCCATAACATTAGATGAAAAATTACTATTATAAATAAAACAATCAAAAAAGGGTTTGTTCAGACTCTTATACCACTCACAGTAAGAACTTAATAATATACCATGATTCAACTTCGAAATATAATTATCAAAATTATTTAACTTTAATAAATAAACACTATTAACATCTTGTAACAAATTATCAAAATTGATTCCGTTCCTTGCACAATTAGCCAACCAATACTTCGACCAAGGTAACTCAGCTTGTTTCAAAATAAAACTCAAACAAATTTTACTAAGACGTTTATCATTTAAACTCAACGTTCTAAAAATCCAATTAACATATCTGTTCAAGATCAAACAAGATAAAGGAATCAATGAACACTCCATAGACACTAAATAACCAGGAGTGCACCTTGGAAGCCCGTACATTCTCTTAATAAAAGTAACTAATACTGTATTCAAGCTTTCCGCCTGAAAACCCCACACCTCGGAAGCATAAAGAAGAGATGAACCCACCACAGCATTAAATAACCTTAACCGATCCTTCAAATTACACAACTTTGCAGACTGACACATTTGAATAACTTTGTCCATTTTTATCTCTGCATTAACTTTACAGGACCTCACATGGGTATTAAAATAACCATTACTTTTAAAAATTACACCTAAATACTTATATTGTGATACAACCGAAATTGGAGCATTTCGGAACCACCACTTATCAGCCTTAGAAACCTTACCACCATTTCGAAAGACCACAATTTTAGATTTTGCAAGATTCAATTGTAAACTATTATCCTTTAAATATTTATCCAAAAGGTCAATCGACCTCTGCAATGACCTCGGAGAATCCGCCACAATTACCACGTCATCCGCATACGCTAATATCTTAACAGAAACACCACCCACAACTATACCATCTCCACCGGAGTCATCAATACAATTCAATAAATCATTTAAGAATAAACTAAAAAGAATAGGGCTTAGAATGCAACCCTGTTTAACACCCTTATCAGAAAAGAAAGGTTGAGAACAATAATTCCTCCATTTAATCCTAACATTCGAGCCACTATATAACTCTGCCAATAAGGATACAAACTTAAAACTTAAACCAAACTTTAATAATTTCCTCCATAATAAATTCCTATCAACAGAGTCAAATGCTGATGCTAAATCTATAAAAAAAGCATAGACCTTACGCCGTTTCCTACTTAATGTCTTAGCAATTACAGTATACAGAATAAAAATATTATCAACAGTCGAGTAGCCTGCACGAAAACCAGCCTGACTCTCTGAGAGAATATCTCTCATACTCAACCAACTTATTAACCTGTAATACAAAACTCTACAAAAAATCTTAGAAACACAACACAACAACGAGATACCTCTATAGTTTGTAAGTACTGACCTTAAACCACCTTTAGGCACCGGAACCAATAAAGAACTCTTCCATTCATCCGGAATAACACCAGTTTTCAAAACCTTATTAAAATTATCTAATAAACAAAAGAAAGCACTATCAATTTTCCAAAATTCAGTAGGAATACCATCTATTCCCGGAGCACCACCAACATTCGACCTACTTAAAACGATTCTTAGTTCTTCCTCCGAAATATAAGAGTCCAATATTTCGTTCGACCAAGTCACGCAATCATTAAAAACCACTAAATCAACATTATATGGACTCTCAGAGCCATAAAGGGAGAAGAAATAACTAAACCAATCAAGTAAACTGATATTTACCTTAACACAACTTCCTCTTGCTTTACATAAATTCCAAAATAATCTATTATTTTTATAAAAGTTTTTAACATTTTGTAACCTATTACAAAATTCCTTCTTCTTTGCTAAACATAATTTCTTTACCAAACTACGGTACAATACAAAAACTTTCCTCTGAACCGCTAAACCGTTTTTCTTAAACTCTAACCAAGCTCTATTTCTAGCTCTAATCATTAATCGACAATCCAAATCAAACCAATCATCAATTCCAACCATAGTCTTTTTCTTTTGAGTCAATCCTTTCACTTTGGCAAAATCCAGTATCACCTTACTGAGCTCCAATAGAGATAAATTAGGGGTCTGCTCCAAGCAGCACCTCAAATCAGCAGACAACGATTCCAGCTGATCACTGTCCCAGAAAATCCTCTGATAACAAGTGCCAGAATCACCTGAGTAAACTGTAGCACGATCTTCCAAATAAAGGACTATTGGGCAGTGATCAGACAAAAAACAACTCTCTATTCTAAAACTTTTAATACAATTCCACACAGCAGGAGCAACAATTCCCAAATCAATTACCGAGGATCCTCGGTTAGAAACAAAAGTAAACTCTCCCGCTTCATCACCAGCAGCTCTACCATTTAGAATTATTAAATCATTATCCGCACAATACTCAAGAACTTTCCATCCTCTCACATTAATATTTACATCCTTGGAGGCTCTATTTCTCTTATTAACAGTAATACCTCTACTATCACATATACTTGTCGAAATTATATTATGGTCACCAATCCGTGCATTAAAATCACCCAACAAAATCCAATTAGAGTCATCGATCTCAAACCGGGACAATACATCAAAAATTTCTTGCCATCTTTGTTCCTGTATATAAACAAAACAAATATTAAACTCTCCTAACGGTAACAAAATATTAATCAGTACAATATAACTATCTCTATAAATAATATTAAATTTCAAAGAAGATTTAATGCAAAGCAACCAGCCAGCCATAGGTCTACCTCTATTATGAGCCCGCAAGGCATCACCAACAATACAATGATATTCTCTTAATTCTTCCCAGTAACATCTACTCCCACCTTTAACAAACCATGTTTCCGATAAAAAAACCACATCATACTTTAATAGATAACTCCAAAAGGACCGCGGTTTATTACCAATCCCAGCACAATTCCACGCCATAATAGAAAACACAGAAGTCATTGGTGGTTGCTATGAGATCGGCACCACCTTGGCCAATACTTCATCAAATTTATACCGAACTCCATCTACTAATAACTTATCATAACTTAACCGAACATTTTTTGCTCCTTCCTCCCTTTTTTTCTTTCCAAAAATCCTTAGGTTGTATCTAATATCCCTTAAACGTTTAGAAAAATCATCATACACAGAAACATTAAGATTCCGATTCTCAAATACAGCCTTTTTAAACCTTAATTTATCACTAAAAGACCCAAATTGACAAATCACTGGTCTGGGTTTATCTCCAACCTTCTTCCCAATCCGATGCACGTTTACAAAATGTAATGAGGATAAATTCAAAGTATTAACCGAAAAAAAACTAACAGTATCAAATATTTCCAAAGACGACTCCTCTTTCCTCTCTTCCAATCCGTGGATAACAACATTGTTCATCCTTCTCTGATTGTCCATAGCATCCAGTTCTCTCTCAAAAGAAGACAATTTTGTAAGAATTTTATCCGTATTCACCGAATGCCCAACACCGGTTACCTCCCCTCCAACCTTTGACTCAACCTCCCCCAACCTCACCTCGAAATCAATCAACGCCTCATCTACATTTTTGAGCCACTCTGTCAGGTGATCCAGTCTTCTGATGAATTCATCAACCTTACCATTCAACGAAACATGCAAACGCAATAGAAGCCTAACTCCTTCCGCCACATCAAAATTTGAATCCTGTAATAAATTCGCAATATCCTCTTCACCAGAAGTAGTCTCACCCCTAAATCTAGTTGTTGATCTTTCCGGAACGGTTGGAGAAAAAGTCTTCCTCTTCCGAGTCTGGGACATATTTATAAAGTAAACTTACCTAAAAAAAGAAAAACAACAGTTTATATCGCTCTTTCAAAAAAATCGGATAGTCTCCCAAGCAGTCCAAGCAACCACAGGTTAAATAATAGGCAGACCACGCCCCAAACCGAAATTTACATAAAAATAACCACTACTTTCACTTTAAGCCTTAAAAAATAAATCAAAATCAGAAATAACTTTTTTAAACTGATTAAATGAAAAACAGGGAACCCCAAAGGTCTCCTCACGTAATTTTGACAAAAAAGTACAAACAGCGATAATATGAAACGCATCCAATGGCGAGTCAGCCACACCACATACGCAACTGTCTCTTCTAAAAAAGAAAAACAGCAGTTTATATCGCTCTTTCAAAAAAATCGGATAGTCTCCCAATTAAATAATATAAATTTAAATTGTTGATTTTTATTCAGTTTATCATAATACATAGACCAAATGTTTAGAAGTTTTAGAAGCAATTCGCATATTCTAATTGTATATTATAGGAGTGTATAAACGTTGTTAAGACAGTAGCTATATATCATTTATCAAAAATAAGATATTACACTAAGTGGCCAAATTTTTAAAGACATTATATTAATATAGTGTTTATCCTCCTTTAGCTTTGAACACAAAACATAATTATTCTAGACAGATTCTACAAGCTGTTGTAATATTGCTTAGGAAATTTGAACAATGCTCAAGAATATTGATTCATACTGACATAATAGCAGCTCTCAGTTGATTTAAATTAGATGGTGGCATTTCTATCTTTATTCACAAATGCTAGATAGGGTGAATGAGCTGGTCAGTGAAGCAAATGCTCGACCAAAGAGCCTGATGAAAGGCAAATTGTCCTGTTGAAAGTGCCCATCTGTATCAGGGAACACAGTAGCCATCAATGAGTGTACATAGTTAGCAAAAATATTGAAGAAGTTTATGGTATTAAGAGATATTTCCAGGTGTTTTAGGGGTCACGTGTGTCTCAGGAATACATTCCCAGACCATTATTCAGATGTAGAGAGATGTAGATTATCCAGATGTAGAGACCAGATGTAGAGCTGTCTCTTGGCAAGCTGGGGCCACGGATTTGTGCTGCTGGCATCATATTCTGATCCTGATATCAGCATAGGGGAGAAGAAACCGAGGATCGTTGGACCAAGCAACTTTTTACACTCATCAAGCTCCAACTGTGGTGTGTCTGGGTCCATAGCAGGTGCGCTTTCCTGTTTTTCTGTGATAGCAAAGGCACTCTTGACTCTTGATGGTCTCCTGCTGTTATTAAAACCTATCTGGAATAAGGTCTGGCATTTTATGTGTTCGGATGTGCTTTTTGCTGCACTCGTGTTGTACTGAGCTGCAGTCTGTTATGTTGTTGCCCTTCTGTTGTCATGGACAATTCGTATCAGTCACCCGTTAACTCTTTGATCCACAAGCTTTTTCCGTCCACAGTTGCACTTATTGCTTGACATTTTTGGCCAATAGCCATTCTATGAACACCCATGATAGTGCTGCAGGAGAAAAGCCAAGGATATTAGCAGTTTCTGAAATACTGGAACTGGATATTCTCGCTCCTGCGATCACGCTACAATCGAAGACGTTTAAACCTTCTGTGTTACCCATGTACAGATTAACTGTACTGATAAACAGTTCTCTTGATACCGAGCATGCCTTTTATACAATATTTATTGCTGCTACATCACCATATGTCACTAATGGACCCAGCTAGGTTAAGTGATGGGTTTCTCTAATAATTTGGCTACTCAGGATATAACATATGTAAATAAATGTCTTTACTCAGAAAAAACTTTAGTAAGTTTTATAAAAATTTTCGAGTTTGACGTTGAATGAAAACTATGTGTATTTAAAGGAGACAATCCATTAAAAAATAAATACAGTACTAAAATTAATTTGCATATTTATAAGAAACATTAAACATATTTTGACGTTTTATTAGTTCCACACGTTTTTAGCCGCTCTACATATTTGTCTAAAACCTCAGTCAGAATCGAATGTTTTGGTATTATTCACGAATTTTATGAAATTTCGTTCGAATGGAAACGCATATTTAATGAACGGGGACTTTATTTAGATTCAAATCACTAATAAAGTTTTACACTTGTACTTAGGGCTTTGCTAAACTAAAATTTTGATATCGATATCAGGCTTGATATCAAATTCCCTTCGATATTTTTGTATTTTTGATTGATATCTTTGTAAAGAAAATAAAAGCGTAAAGGAAGCTCACTGCTACTAATTTGTCTTCAATGTTTTCCGTAAATATATAAATTAATCTTAAATTTTTTTACGAAGTTGTCTTTTTTTAATATTTATATTTTTCAAATATTTTATAAAATCTATTATAATATATATTTAAATATATATCGCTGACTTTAATTAATAAGTTATAACATTGATATCTTTCTATTAACTAAATGTTCTGAATGTTATCATCAAGATATAGTCTACTGTATATATGTTACTGTGAATGACCGAAATGGGGGGAACTGTGTGAATGTCAACATTCACACAGTTCCCCCCATTTCGGTCACCACAGACAACTGTGTGAATGTCAACATTCACACAGTTGTCTGTGGTGCATGTCAACATTCACACAGTTGTGTGTGTCGACATTCACCGGCGAATGTCGACATTCACAAACATTGGTCTTTCACAGTAACATATATACATTTTAAATTATTTTTTGTATTGTTATAATATTATTAGTATTTACATGTATATTTTTATTTCAACCATAAAATATGATTGAAAAAACATTCGCTAATAACTAATTCAAACTTATTACTTTTCTATAGTTTGTTGACAATTACTACAATACCTCTATACATATTTATAAATTATTACTATATATTAAATTATTATTAATATAATTTATTATAAATCATAAATTCATATAAAAATATACATGAATTAGCAACAATGCTGATGAGGAAATTAAAAAGACCGTAATGCATTTATGGCCGTTGAACGGCTGTTTGTGAAATAATAGATTACATGCCTTGATTATTAGATATTTGTTCTAAAATAAGAATTTTATTGATAGATATATTTATTTTTAAATATACTGTTTAAGTATTATTTAAAAATTTTTAATAAGTAATTAATTAATTAAAAATATTTCATCATTTCCCATATCACAATTAAGTGAGTGATATATGATATGATTGTAATAAGTAGGGCTATTTATTAAGCACAAGTTCAAAGTACACTTCGTAAATATGTATATTTATTTATTATTATTATCATCGAAAACAAGATATTTTTTTTTTCATAATTAAAAGTAAAGCTTTGTTCAATATTGGACAAAATGTCGAAAATGAGTTGTCATTTGAGTAATTCGATACAATTTATTTGAATATAAAGTATAGTAATTTTAAATTCGATACGACAATAAAAGAATTTATAAAGATATAAAGATAATTTAAAGAATAAAGGCCTAAGGGTGTGATTCGTAATACTGGATGTAAATAAAATAAAATAATATTAATCAAAATAAATAGTACAATATAAAATAAAGTCGTAAAAAAGTAATAATAATATGCTAAGTAAAACGAATTATTGTTAGAGGAAACGTCAATGAAAAAATAAAATGTAAAACTGAAGTTTTAGTGAACAAATTTTTTTATATTCTTAGATATTAACCTATTCTACAAATATATTATATAATTAAATATTTCTCTTCATGGCTGTGCTTCGGGGTTAACCCCAATTCCTTCTAAATGAGTTGGTTAACCCACTCATTTGGAAAGAATTAAAAATTAAATAAAAAAAAATAATAAAAAACCTTGTAACTTATACTGTAAAAATTAATAAACTACGTTATGAAAAATAACGTGCATTTTAAATTTTACCCTTGAAAATTTTTTGCACGACCCCGTTTCTCTCGTAGGTAAAATTATACAGAAATTAGTAAACTTATAATAATTTAATCGTAAAGAAAAATTATTTAATTATCATAAAATTGATAAATTGTAAAATTAAAATAGTTTTTTTGATATAAATAATTATTAAATAATTTTTTACATTAATTCAAACTTTATGAAGCTTATAAGAAACGTTATCCAAGCCTCAGGTAAAAACTTAGACTATTCTCACATATTTTGGGTTCTCTATTGAAGTACTTTTCCGTAATCTTTAGACTTGTGCTCGCGATACCAAGGTGTATGTGTGAAGACGCTAAAAGGTAACAAGGGTAAATATTTTAAAAAATTGCTATTTTACTCGAACATAATGAGTAAAGTAATGCGTTTTGCATCGATTAGCAATAGTTTAGATAAGTTACTTCGTGAGCTGGCACGTCGGGAACACAAAGGGAGCGACACCAAAGAAATAGTCTTTCGTTGAAGAAGGGAGACCAAAGTACATTAAAATTACCGTATCTTCCTTTTTAGAATAGATGTATAGAAGTGCACTAAAAATAATGAGAATTAATTTTCTATATTATTAATTTTGATAGTTGACGTATAATAGTTTGTTGTAAATAATAATTTGAAATATTTCGCTAACTTATTTTAATATAGGAAAATTTTGAATGGTGCTTACAATTTATAACCTAGAAATATTAAATAAATAAAATAATCTGGAGTTATCAATGTCATTATTTAAATTATATTGTATTTTTTTTTTTGGTTCTTAAATTCTTGTGAAAAACATTCAACAATTCAAAATGGTTAGGAACTGAAATGAAATGATATTGATCGAATAGAAATGTGTTTTTACCAGTTTCAAATCTTACTGAATATAATCAGAAAGGAGAAAATTAATGCTAAGAAAACAACAAATTTGAAAGAGTTCACTTGTTTACGATTGGAATAAGATTTTTCTTAATCAAATTGTTTGATTAAACTTTTTATAACTCTTTTCATACAGCGACCACTAAAAGGCCATAATTATTTGGTTAAAGTTTAGATTTTTTGAGTCATTCTTCGATAAGCGTTTCGAAGTGAATATTTTCTTGCTCTAGAATAATACGAAAAAAATCTATTTCGTGAAATAAAAACGCTATTTCGCTATCAAATTAATAATTTTATTTTACGAGTGACTTATTTTTAACAGGAAAGATAACACATTATTGAAAGAAAACGTTTAATTTATATTTTAAAATTTAAGTAAACTTTTTCTGTTTTTAATTTGATTTGAATTTTGATATAATTTCTAGATTTTATAAGTTTACTTTCTAATGTCTTCGTTTTATATATAAAAAAATAAATGTAACTATAATTAGCAAAATTATAATGTAGCCTATTTAAAAATTATTTTAATAAATGAAATATTTTAAAAGAAAATTAAAATGAGTTAATTCCATTTATTCTGTATTCATATAATTAGCCTGTAATTTTCTGAATTTAATTACTTTTTCTCCCGCAGGAAATGGGAAAGAAGAATGAAAGTAGATTGTTATTTATTTTTTATCTGCATGTTTTTACTTCTTATATTTACCACCATGATTGCCATTATCATATACTATAAAAGTAAATATTTTGAATGCTATTAATTTTTTTAAAGAAAAAGAAACAATACAAACAACTAAAAATAGTTTCAATATTTTTAAAATATTTTAAAATATTTAATATAAATTATTGTTTTGTTCTGTGAATAGGTATAAACGTAAATTTTCCTAAAGAGGAAATATGTTTAACATCAGTTTGTAAAAATGAAGGTGAGAATATTTTAAATATTAGCATATAAAACTTTACGGAGAAATTGTATTGTCTATTGTATAATTTACTATTTAGTATTATATTTCAAAATTTTATGAAAAATAAACATTGGAAAAATAGTATAGGCCTACTTTATTAAGTATGTTATTTTTCCAATTATGTAATAACGCTAAAGATGTTTTAAGGCAGCGATTCCCAATCTGTGGTACGCGTACCCCTAGGGGTACGCGATAGGTTGTTTAGGGGTACAGAAAAAAGTTAGTTATTATGGCAGAAAAAATAATATATTATGTATCACAAACTAATAGTATTAAAAAATTATTAGATAAATAATGTTCCTTGCAACAATCACAACTTTATTATACATTTTTTCTTTTAGTTTTTTTTCCTTTAATTTAAAGTTACAATATGTAAAATTAACAATACGGTTACTTACTAAATTTCTTAAATGAGGGGTACAATCTACAGATATGACATGTCACGGGGTACGCTAATGAAAAAAGGTTGGGAACCACTGTTTTAAGGAACTACAGAGAACATGTGAAAACCGACAACATCTTACAGAACTAAACAGTTAAATTTACAAATAAACTCTAACAAGACTGAAATAATCATCTATAGTCTGGTAAGAGTATCAACTTGCAATATATATTTTTTAATTGATCATCAAAGATTGGAAATCGTTGACTGAGTTCAAGATTTAGGTATAATATTTGATTCAAAACTCTCAAACTGCATATAGGAAATTTAATCAAATAAGTCAATTCGTAGGAGATTGCTTTGGCGAAATTTTAGAATAAATTCTAGTAAAAAACAGAGTATTATGTTCATCCAACATACAGTCTATAATAGACTATACCTTACCTATTTCGGCTTATGCCCATCCATTTACCCTAAATAAACTTTATTCAAAATTGGCTAAAATTTATATTTTACTTAATAAACTTTCTCGTTTCCGATTTACAGACTCGCTGGAAGTCGCACATGTTCGCTTAGGTTTGTCTAAGTTTCATAAACGCATTTAATATTTCGATTGAATATATACTTATAAATATTTTAACGGTACTCTTATCCCAATATATTAACCTTCATATCACCTCTCAATATTAGAAATACTACTTGTTTATACTCTTCATATTGTCGTCTTAATGTTACCATAAAATCGTTTTTTTTTTACCGCTACCACGAAGCTTCTGTAAAAATGGAAAATAAACTTTATATCGAACTTTATCGTATGAAAAAACTTAAACGATGGTCAAGTAAGCGGAGACATTTTTAACCGATTCAAGAAGTCATGAGTAGAGCCTGGAATCATCAACGTTATGATAATTGTTGTGTATGACTAATATGAACCTGCGATAATATCACACGGTGTATCAAGTGGACAAATAATTAATGAAGATTATTACTAGAAATATCTAGAATATTATCATCTCCCAGAAGTGATCTGAGCTACTGCAAGAATTACCAATAATTCTGTTCATTATATTTTTCGTCAAGTATCCGCTAAAGTTAAGGGTGTTCTTTGCAGGTGGGACGAGAAAACGGAGCATTTTTCCTACTCGCCTCATATAAGTACTGTACCTGAAATTATTAATCTTCTATGCTAGACATTAGAATTACAAGTTATATAACATGTAGTTTATGGACATCCTATCCGGTGAAATAAAATTAATTATAATATAATTAGTTTCGTGATGAATTTTATCGCATATGACGTCATTGAAAACTGGTATCAACAGCAACACTATATTTTATTTTCCCACAAATCATTTTTTATAATTCATTTCATTTTGTAATAAACTAGATTAATGGGAAAATTTTAACTTTCTCTAGTTTTTAAATTATTTAAAAATGAATAAAAATGAAATTTAACATTTTTAGCTGGACGAATATTGCAGAATATGGATAACAGTGTGAATCCTTGTGATGATTTTTATTCTTTCACTTGTGGATCTTATTATAAATATAAAGATGTATACAGTGACTGGATAAATTCCCTCACTGAATTAAGAGGATATGTGAAATTTTTACAAAAAGGTAATTTTAATGTTATAACAATCAATATTTAATACTCCAAAAAACGAAAATATTTTATTTAATTTTAGAAACATTAGAGAAACAAGAAGAAGGTTTACCTAATTATGCAGAGAAAGTAAAGATGTATTACCAATCATGTCTAACAAAATGTACGTAACTTAATGAAATTAAATTTATCATTACTTATGTAAGCTATAATACATGCGAACGATAATTTTTCTATCATTGATACATAATTAATAATTTTAATTTAAACAATCACATTTTAGCCACTTCTGTTCAAAAAATTCTGAATGATTTCCTGCAAACAACACGAATTTCAAGTTGGCCTTTTACTGATAATGTATTTTATAAGTATTCAAATACAAACGTTGAGGATATTATTGCAAAGTCTTTTATTTATGATGATACCGGATTATTTTTTTCAATTAATTCTTTGCACAAAAACGGATCTTTATATTACATAAAGGTATATTAATATTTTTGATACACATCTACTATTTCTTAATTACTCTTTGTGTATTACCCACTTCTTTAACCAATGCCTGTATAAGTTATTTCATAAATTTATTCACATTGATTATATTTCTTTCTTAAATTGTATAATAGTAAAAGTTTTGATAAAAGTTTTTTTCAGATATTTCCAGGAAATGGTGCCATAAATAATTATGGATTATTGAATGATACAGATGAATACTTCATTTTTTTAAAGCAGAAATATATTTCTCTGTTTAGATATGTTTTGATGAATATTGGATTAAAACCAGAAAAAATAATACAGATAATGGATGAAGTTATAAACTTAGAAACTTCTTTAGCAGAAGTAAGTTTTCTTTCGATTATAGTTAGATTTGGATCGGAATGGTGGGAGAAACTCAACGCCACGCATGAGAGATCTGCTAAAGGGGAGATTTTCTACGGAAAAATGTCTCCTATTTAGTGTTAGACATGCGAAGGAAAACTCCAACTTTAGTCTTGCTCGATGGTTTTATCTACTCGGCCACTGGTAGGAGATTGCAATTAGACCAATTAGATAAGTGCTATAAGTACAGGAACAATCAAGCTAAAAACCAAAATTCGTTATTTATTATTTAATCATCATTATATTTATTCATAAATGAATGATGATCAAATAATATTTCATATTTCATTGATTTAACTTGGTATAATATGTAGATTTTGAAAAATAATGTGAAACCATACATTATTTTCATTATCACATTGTTATCATAGAAATTGCTTTCATGATATATTTTATCTATTGAAAACCATATCCGTTTTATGTGAGAAGTCTGAATGTGGATTTATATTAAAATTTAAATTAAAAACTATTTAAAATGTAAACTAGATTATTTTAAATGATAGCTAACTGAAATAAATTGATATTATTTTTGTATTTTTTCATAGATTAAGGAAAATGAGAGAAGTGATAACTTTACAATGATTACAATAAAAAAATTGGAATCTTCATGCAGCGAGGTAATTATTATATCATTCGAAATACACCCTTGTTCTTTAGTTAATCATCTTTATGTCCATTAGATCAAATGGACCTCTCTATTTAAATTTATGTTTGAATTTATGGAGCATCCTCAAAATTATAGTAATGATATTCAATTAAAAGTGAAAGATATGGAAATAATGTTGGATCTATGCAGATTAGTAGGAAGAACACATCCTAGGTAAAGTATTTTTAATTTATGTGACATGACTTGTATTTATGATTAATTCCCTCTAATTAATTAAGATAATTTTAACGATAAATAAAGCTATCATTATTTATTGAACAGAATATTTCAGTTGAATTTTTTTTATGTATTTTTCTCTCTATTTTTAGTTTCTTTTTTACATTTAATTGACAGAATAATCTACAATTCAATCGTTTGGAATATATTCATCAATTATCTGTATCAAGTAGATTTTGTATTTCGACAGTTAGCGACAGATAAGAAACGTGATATTTTAATTGGATCAAGTTATTTCAAATCTAGAAGTAATCAAAAATGGAAAAAATGTCTTGCTAATTTAAAAAAACCTTTCTTGATTGGATTGGATTATTATTTATTAAATTATACTCAATCAGAAGAGAAAATTAAAGAGGTATTTTTAATAATAAGTTTTGTTTAAAGTAGACTTGTCAAATGGAAAATGGTTTTATTTATATTATAGATAAAGAATTTTATTAAGCAAGTTTTAAAATCAACAGAAGAAATATTTTCTGAAGAAAATTGGTTAGACGATTTTAGTAAAATTATTTTGAAATCAAAAGTAAGTTATATTTAGAAAATATTACCGGTATGAAATTTCTTATGTGTTATTATCATCTGCAAAATAGAAATATTATTAATTTGTTAATTATTTGAATAATTCTAAGAAATGGAAATATATTTTTTGGTTTGATTTTTTATATTTATACTCTCTTTAATGCACAATTTGAAGACCTCCGGATATCCGCCCGTAATTCAGAGTCAAGCGTTTTTACCCCGGTTGTAAATATCACCAACTGCACTCGCGTGACATTTTTGATTTTATTATGCATTCTATCTTCATGTGTTCGCGATTGTTAGAGAAAATGGTCGAATTCTCGATTGGATCTATAGCAATATTTTATTTACCAAGAGTATTTTAATTGAAATAACTTTTCTTTTTAAACATATTTTGGTCGAGGTTTCGACTTCTGGTCGAGACCTCACAAAAAAAAAAAAAAAATTATGGATGGTAAGTCCCGGATATGTCGGGTTCAGTCTCTTACCATCCGGTCTCCTCCATTTTGGTCCTAGCTAAACTCACGATCGGCCTCGAAGAAAGTCTTTCTTATTGATCATGGGGTGGAAGGGCTCTAAAAAACGCACAATTTGCATCAATTCGTTTGTATGTAAAATAGACTTATACATTTTTTTAAATACACATATTACTAAACATATATTTATTCGAAATTAATTGGGCTGCAATTTGAAAAATTTATAGACCTATAAATTCCCACTGTCGTCCGTCCGTCTAACTGCCTTTCCTAAATATCGAGAATGGAGTTAGTTATATGAAAACCGAGACAAGATATGAAAAGATGAGGAATAGTAGATTCCTTATTAACTATATATAAACTTCCAATGCACACCGAAAGTCACGTTACTTCAATTCAAAAATTCCCCTCCCGAAAGGAGTTCAGGTGGATGACCGGTACGACTCGGTTGCTAAAGAAAAAGTATGATGTACAGTACAGTACAGTACAGGGGCAAGTAACTACTAATTTGAAGGTGGAGAGAATATATTTTAAATTAAAGACATTAAAAATATGATTAAAAATTGCAGCCTGGCATTGTGAAGATGTCACAATAAATAATTACTCGTATTTCATTTTAAAGTGGTTCATTAACCTAAATTAGGTCACCTAAGTTAAAAGTTATTATTGTTAAAGGATCTTTTATAAAATGTATTTTTTCTTTGCAAATTATTTTAAAGTTGAGTTTTCAATAAAAAAGGCTAAGTTTTATATAGGCCTACATGTTGCTATTGTTATCTATTGCGCAGCTTGAATTTCTACAGAGAAAAATTTGCTAAATGCATTAAAATAATTTTAAATGTTTTATTTAAGTAATATTTTAATTATACCTACTGAGTATAATCGCTACTTTTTTGTTATTATGACTCCAAAATAATTGGATCATAAAAATTTATTTATACAGTATTTATTTTATTTTAATATATTTATGCAAATATATGTAAGCTTTTAATTGAAATAAAAAGCTGTATTATAATAAAGTTTATTTTAAATTGATGCAAAGCATAAACAAATTTAGTAATATATATATAGGCTATATATGTATTTTACTAAATTATATATATATAGGCTATATATGTATTTTACTAAATTATATATATATAAGCCTACACATATATAATATTTATTATTAATTATACAATGAATCATTTATGAAGATTATCCTAGACCAGGAGACCAGGGGTGGCAAACGTATGACCCGCCTGCCCAAAGTGGCACGTAACGTATCGTACGATTTTGATTTATCGTTTGTCTTCTTCAATCATTGTTTCATTTACTGTAATTAAAGCATTCTCGTTTAATTTTTTTAAATATCGTTATTCGAAGTTTACAACTTTCGCACGCATAAACATCTTTAAAGCTAAGTATGCTTACAGTATGGCATGCGTGCTCAAAAAGGTTCGCCACCCCTGACCTAGACTAAATGCAACCAAAATGTTCATATTAAACTAGTGACAAACCCATCAACAAGAAGGGAATCATAATACAAATAATTATATTGTTTCTTATATTTTTTTCGAAAAATCTTCAAATCTCTAAAGGGACCAATTATTAATTTAAAATTTCAAATGATTGATGTTTATTTTCCTAAAAACGACAGGGAACATAATTCCGATGCGTTTAGTGCAAATTTACTACCAGATAAAAAGAATAATAGGCCTATATGAACAAACCACTTGATAAAAATTAATTTTAGTAAATTTATGTGAAATGGATCAGATTCATCAAAGTCACTTATTTTAAAGAAACTATAACAGAAAAAAATATCTGTATTGTAAAATAATATTATAATACTTATTAAAAATTCATAATTCGCAAATACCTAAGTTTATTGAGAGTAACGATATTGATATTTCTAAGTACAGTACATTGGCAAATGAACATGGTTCATATTCAATTTCTGTATGGGGTAAAACGAAACTCTTGCTTTTCTATTATTATAATCGAACTAATTAAATACAAACACATCAAAGAAAACTCAATACACTAAGTACTGTAGTTTAAAGCAGAACAATTCAAGAACATTTTCTTTTATACGATGGGTATGGAAAAAGTCTTCGGACTCACAAAACAGAAAGAGACAAAAATGAAAACAAGAACCTTGTTCCTTACGAGCACTATGTAACTAAGCGGTCTTAACTTCTGCTCTCTCTGGACTAGGCCTTAAGAATTTCACTTTGGGTTTATTACTTTGGAAATTTCTTGGGAACATTTAGCTTTTTGAAGAGCCAAGATTATCGGTCCTGTCTAGTTCGTACTGACTACCTGGCCAGCTCCCATGGTGGGTTAGGTCTTGCCCATAATGAATATAATTTGAGACCAGCCAAATATAATTCAGCTGTACTAAAACTGGATAGATTTGGCTGAATTAATATTAGACTAATTTTTCGTGAATAAAAAAAACTGTTCGAATGCATTTACATATAAATTAACAAGTTAAAATGAAAATAACACGATTAGGGATGGTCATTGTTATTATTATCGTATTCGTACAGCTTCTGCGAATTTTCATGAATTCTAATGGATCCATTTCATTTTATCTAAAATGATGCAAATTATGCAACGCGGCAGAAAAACATTTTTTAATTGTTGAATATCTTGTTATTAGGCGGATCATAGCTTAATATCGTCAGAAATCCCTCTACATTTGTTTAATAACAGATATGCACTTTTATTTGTAATAATAAGCGAAACACTTCGGTTTATTGCTTGTGCTGATGGTAACTTTCAAAGTATTCACATGTGGTCGTCGCTCGCCAAGTACTTTTTTTTTTTTTTTTTTTTAATTTTAACTTCTGAAATCTTGAACGGAGTCAAAAATAAACTTTTAAAAATGTTTAAGAAAATTTAAATTAAGAGAAATTATATATTTTTTTTCTGGGAATTTCCGGATCAGGAATCCTAATATTAATTATATAAAACTTGACTTCATAATGGCTTATAGATCGGATGTATTTTGTGTTTGTTAAAATCTGGTGACCGATTGGTTTAATAAGTGTAAGTTCAATGTTAACCCCCTTTTTATTTATGGTTTAATATATCTAACAATATTTATTATTAATAGTGTAACCGTCTACCAGAATTTGGAAAATGTAGGAGAAACTAAGACATTTACTGGTGGAGTGAATATGTTATACCACATATCATAGTATTCTGATTTATACTAGATAATTTAGTTTAGTGTACGTGTTACATTGAGAAATTGTAAATGCAGTGTACTGCATACGTGGGATATCCCGGTGTATTGACAGGTTATTGGCTTTGTAATTGTTACGTTTTTACCATGTGTTTGTAAGCTGATGAGGGGTGCTTGGACCCGAAATGCATACTTACCTAAATTTGATATGTGATTATCACATATCAAATTTAGACCACCTTTATTAAAGACCACCTTTTTTATAAAAGTTCTGGTCCTTCTTTCAGTCGGCCTTGGTGTGATAAGCCCTGCAGATAATGTTATACCCTATTTGTTGGGTTATCTAATTCTGTTTAATATATAAAACTTGCATTGAGAAACTTGCAAATAGTAGAATGTCTAAGCAAAACTTGCCTAGAGATTCTACTATTTATTTGACGAATCAAAGATAAATAGTTTATTAAACTAAATGTAAAAATCCTAGCCGAATTTCACTTAATTGTTTAGTTTCATTTTAAAAATAAACATAAAATATTTATTATTACCAATTTTAAATATTTTTATTTCCGTTTTATAGCACTGCATAATGTTTTACATGAAATTTCTACATGTTTATTTTAGGTAAGAAACATAAAATTTCGTATTGGATATGCTAATTCTTCGTTTGTTATACCGAAGTTAATAGAAATATTTTCTAAAGTAAGTTAAAAATGTATTGTTTCTAAACTAATATTAGTAAATTTAAATGAATAAATAAATATATTATCTATATTATAATTGGGCTGCAATTTGAAAAAAAAATTGTAGACCAATATAAATCTTGCATAAAAATTTTTAAAATAACAATTAAAAACTTAAATGTTTTAAAATCAATTCACTACTTTCACACGCCATTTCAATTCTGTGATAGATGAATGTATNTAAATTTTCGTAAATAATTACTTTTTTCTTAGCTATGTGATAGATGAATGTATAAATAGAGTAAATTAAGATTGATTCAGGAAATAGAAATATCATTCAATTTCTCAGAATTAAAGATAACTAAATAATTATTCAATGTGAATTGGTTTTGATTCAATTTGAGAAGACGGAGCTTTTTATAATACTAAGTATTCGTTAAAACGGTAGATATATTATATGTAGAATCTTAAAAAAGTAAAAAATAAGAATTAATCTATCAAAATCTATTAATCTATCACTAAAGATACTGTTTTATTAATAGTACAAATAATTATTTTCCGATCGGAAAATAAAGAAAGTCTAGTAAGCAATAAATGAGTAATATTACATTCAAGACAGTTATTGTTAAGCCACACAAACAACTGTTTACAGAAAGGTATAATTTCCAGATATTGTTATTTATAACTTTATACAGTTATCCCTATGTAGTCATTTCGTTTTATAGCAAGGATTTAATTATAGTATTAGTAATGTTAATTTGTGCTCCACACAAAGGATTTCTATTTAATACAAACATGGTTAATTAATTTAGATATTACGTTTGAAATTCATAATTCTATAAGTCATATCGTTTAGTACTAGTTAGGAAATTGTACGCATTATAAGGAAGGAAGTGACTACTTAATCCAGGTAAAAATACTTTGAGGACCGTACAGTTTTTGAGCCACTTTTGACTCCCTCTCTCCCTCCCTGTTGTGTACAATGATTTTATTTTGGCAAACCCTTTACTTACGTATACATAGACCAACTTAATATTGAAAAAATGACAAAAAAGTTCTTCAAATTGATAATTTATTCACATGACTAGTAAGTAATCACATAAGAACAAGTTCGTATGCCACTAATATCACTAAAAAGTCCAGGTAGACAATGTCTCCCCTCCTTCTCTCCCAAATAATGATGCAACTCCCTTCTCCCTTAAACTATGCACGTAATTAATGGACGACTTCTAAATTATCAGTACAGTAGAACCTCGGAAACTCGGCCTAATGTGGACCGAAGGTTGGCCGAGTTTGTGAAAATGCCGGGTTATCGGGAATGGGGTTAAAAAAAATAAGTGCGAGTGTTTCCTCAGAAAATACTGTACTGTACTTGTATGTATTGTTTACTTGAGAATATAACAGAGAATAAACTGCCCGAATACCCTTAAACAAAGGAAAAGTACGTCCTTTCATGAAGGCATAGAGCCTTTACTACATGAAAATGAAAATTAACGAATACACTGTGTACAGTAATTTACCTGATAAGACAGACCTCAGAAAAATACTTTATGAGAGCTTTTATACTTTTATAAAGCTGTCTATAATGAAAATTAATTAACTAAGGATTTTTTTGCTCTGCCAGGATGTGCCCGAGTTATCCGGAGTGCCGGGTTATCGAGAGCCGAGTTTTCGAGCTTCTACTGTACTATCGATATGCCGAGATCGGCTGTTTTGTTTGCCAAGCACATAATGCTTGTTAAACGTATAGTCCAGTAAACTAAGATTTCATTATAAATATGTACTTGAATTCGATTTATATAACTTTTTTAGTATATTTAGTAATTTAAGAGCTGGAATTACTTAAATTAATCTTTATTTTGATCCTACGTTTATTTATTAAGCTATATTTTCATGCAATGAGCAGCATTATAGGTCTATTAATGCAGAATTTCTATGCAATGAGCTTGTTTTTATAATCCATTATATAAATCTTAAACACTGATCATTTCTAAACAAATAAATTACTATCTTGTTACATTTCAAATTAAAGTCATCAGCAACTTTAATACTATATACTTAATACTCAAAATTATAAAATAAAACTACAACAATGATTCAGAACAGTCAACAATAAATAGATGTAGTTTAAACAATCCACAGTTTGGAATGTTAAACTTCATTCGTGACTTAACTACATTTAAAAAGGTTAAATTAATTCTTGACAAACTGAATTTCTTAATGATAAACGGCACCAATTTACCAAATAAATTAAATATTTTTCTAACCGTTCGTAAATATAATAATTATGTTGATAATCTAAAAGTGATGGAATGTGTCGCGACAATATAATTAAATTAATGCTCTAAATTAATTTTAAGATATGGTTAATTTCATTTCTGTGAAATGTCTAATAAACATTATGTCAAATATTTGTATTTTATAACAATGTTATTAAGGAAACGATGGATAAAATATAAATTTTCTGAGATTTACGAAAGTAATTGAATTTCGTAAAGTTATAAATAGCCTACTGTACACAGAAAATGCTATATTAGTTCCAAATACTAAGTAAATTTTAAGACTGCAAAATTTATTCGAGAAGTAGAGAAAAACAAATAAAAGCTTCTTTATTTTCGTTTATTCTGGTAATTTTCAATCGTTTATGCAAAGATTTTTCATGCTCATAGCTTGTCCATTAAATTTTCGTAAATAATTACTTTTTTCTTAGCTAATATTTTTACATTCTTTTTATCAATGGTACAATTATGTCTTTTACAACGAATAAACAACGGAGATTATTCGCACTTTAATCTGATGGCCGATTCGTGCTCTTTAACTCTAATACCTGAAGATCTACCAGCTTCACCAATATAGTACACTTTATTATTTCAACTACAATTATTAACTATACCGGACATAAATAATTCATGTATGGAAAAATTGAATATGTCTGGTATGTATCCCTGCGTATGGTTTTAATAATTGTAAATTTATTTCATTGTACTGTACAAAGGCCAGTGATAATTTTTTTCCTTAATAATTTGTAATTTACCTTATTCATTCGTAATTCTGTACTTTTTAGAAGAATTTTAGCCTGAAGAGGGATGTGCAGAGTCCGAAAAGTTTATAAAAAAGTTTATTTTATGGTCTTGGTATTTAGTAAAAAAGAGAGATAACATAAAATTACACGTTATTAGCCAACATAGTGTGTTTTAAATGAAAAAGACATAAAACGATTTTTTCTTAGAAAATTTTGTACGTCATTAACTTTCAGAATTCACTAAATATTTATTTTCCATAAAAATTAAATTGTGGATATTTTTCTACATATAAGTTATCTACTTTACAAAGAAGGTTTTGCATCATTATCAGCTATATAACCATATTGCCATTGGAAATAAAGATCAAAATTTTGAAAAACAAAATAATAAAAACAAATAAATGCTTCCAGTGTTCGTTTATTCATATTTAATTTGATCTTTCTACACAACTTTTATCAGAGTTTTTTCCTCTTTTTCTACAGCATTCTTAGATTTAAATCATATCAAACATATTCAACTTTTGTATTGAGAACTTTTTCTTTATAATTCGAAAATATTTTTTGTGATCTTTCAATGATATGATATAATTAAATAGATAAAAACTTTTATTAGGATTTAAAATTTTTAAAAATGTTTTAAATTTCAATTTAAAAATTATAAATATTGTAGATTAATTTATATATTGAACTTTCATACAGAATAAGAATCGTTTGCCAAATATAATCGTTTAAAATCTCCTCAAATATTTATAAAATGCCATTAATAATAAAACGCATATCTAAAATAGAGATTTCTAAAATGCTATGTGATTCACGAGGGGTGATAATTTATTTCTTGGGCAGGAGCGAAAACTTACCTTATAAAAGCCACGAGATTCAATCAAGAGTATTTTCAGAAATGACCGGAAGATTCCGAAGATGACATTTAAGTTAAATATTTGTTCCTGATCACGAATTAAATGATTGCCCCTTGTGTAAGACAACATCTATTATATCTTTATATTTTAAATATAATTAAAACGGCAAAGAAAATTTCGATTTTAAACTTTTTATTTCATATCAAACGCATTTAACTTTAGAATTAAATTTACTATCAAATAAAAACAGATAGAAGACTTACGAACGTAGCTTTTTTATTCATTGAGTGAAAAAGTTTCGAATAGTTTTGGTTATTAAATTATTTGATTGATTATTACGCTATATTCTTAACTCGTGCATTATATGTAAAATCTGATAATTCTTAAAAAATAATTTGATGATTTTAATAAACGAATGCGCAATAGGCCTATATATAATTTTTAATTTAAGCATTTATTTTTGTAGAATTCATTTATCAGACTTTTACTTCTTTCCAGAAGTATATTAAATACAAATAAAATTCTAGCTTAAGCGTTTTATTTTGACATTTGAATGATTTCATTTATAATGCATTTATATTTTTTCTTATAAAATTGACCTTACGTATCGATTAATCTTTATTGCCACAGTTGAACTTACTTACTTACAGAAAATATTTATATAACAGTTACAGTAACTTATATGCTAAAAATTTTGATTATTAGCTTATAATATCGAACTATCTCAGCATCAAAAATAATACATCTAATTTTATTAAATGTATTCGTAAAAAATAATACATCTAATTTTATTAAATTTATTCAACTATAAGACTATTCTGTAAATCTGAAGAATTTCTTCAGATTTACAGAATAGTCTTATAGTTGAATAAACATTAAATATATAGGTCTATATATAACACACTGCTAACTTAGAACAGATGCTCTTTCCCATATTCATGAACAAAAACGGAAATTATATATATGAATATAAAAAGTGCAACTACTGTATTTATTTTAAAATATAAAAAATAAGCAATAGATAATTATTTACTGTACAATTGCGATCTTATCGCATGTAGTTCTTTCTAGTCAGACTGTCAGTTCCTCACTCTTTTACTCCTAAATTCTATTAATACAATTCAATTAATACAGAATACGTTACTATTTTATAAAAATGTCAATTTATATATTGATTTAACAATAAAATTTTCACATCTTTGAAATTATATAGATCTTTTCAATTAAAAAACTGAAAACTTTACGCTTATTATTGACACGTTATCAATCTGTAGGACTTTTAATAAAATAAACAAAAGAATTAAATCGTATAAATATTAATAATTTATATCAGATATAATCATGTTATTCTTTTTTAAATTTAATTTTACTTATTTGTAGATCAACGTAACAGATAATTATGTACAGAATATTTTAGAAGCGGATAAATACATTTATATAGATACTTTTTTTGAAGAAACTTTATCTCAACTTTGGTCTCATTTGTGAGTAGTCTTTATTTAATTCAACTAGCAAATATTTAAAAAAATAGACAAAAGTGATGGTAATTGATTTTTACACAGAGGGCGATTTCAAGTATTTAAAGTAAATGCATATTATTCTGAACAACAAAGTTTTAAGGGAAAATTAAGTAAGTATTTGTTAAATTATACCTAATAAACTCCAAATTTTTATATTATATTATCAGATATTATTAATTAACTTAGGGTGATATTCATTATTATTATTGTTTGTATGTCGTATTTTTTAAAATTAAGTATAGTATTTTTTATTTAATAATTTTAACAAATCGTTATTACTATAAAAACTTGAATAAGATGTGATTACAGCTACATTTATCTGACAATAAGAGAATAAAATCCACGTTTATATGAAATAAATTTACTTTTATACAAATTTATTTGTCACAGGTATATTAAAAAACAATTATCGATTTGTTCGATTGGGTGGACAGATAAAATACTTTCTGTATTCATTGCTAATAATAAACATTGCGTTTTATAAAAATCATTACGTATCTTTCCTTTATATCTAGATACAATACTAAGCAATTCAATATAATTTGAATAATTTGGTTTAGACAAAAATTTACATTTTAAACTGTTGTATGAATTAAGAGTTAAATGTATTAATTATCATAATATTTAATAAAATTGACTTATTAGTTGTCATAATAGAGATAGTCTGTGATGGTTTTACACGAGTATAGTTTGTTCTAAAATTATTTATTGACTTGCAAACTTTAAATAATTTACACTATTACATAAATCGATGTATAATTTAATAAAATAATAAATAACAATGTTTCCAAGAGAAGTCCGCTGATAGATAAAACGTGGACTTTTCCACGAATGTCACAGGTTCAATCAAATATAATTTTTTAACAGTTGCAGCTATGTAGGCCTATAATCTTTTAATTATGTAATTACATTTACAAATTATGAACATTTCTTCAAGCCTGAGAGAACCGTCCTGTCCTAGGAGAAACAAGAAGGAAGTAGAAGTCTACAGTGGGTAGTTTAACTCAGGATGTTGACCATCTGAGGGTGCCACCAACCTGACTACACGGCTAGAACATTCTTTTGACTACACGGCTAGAACACTGGTTGCCATTTTCAATGATATGTTACTATTTTTCGAGAATAAAAACAGTTTCCTTTAACTCAAGTTTCAACAATCTCTCACGGTTCTTCTTAACTCCTAACGAATTCGATACCGTTATGTAGGAATACAGTAACAGAAACCTTTGTCCTCACTCTTCTGCTCCAGAATCTTGGATGAACTGATTTATGTCAATTTCCACTCTCTTTCTTCTGTCTTCTTCCTGTCTCTTTTCCGGAACCATTGTTTAAATTGGGTGTTTTAGTTACAATCAGAGTTAAAAACACGCAGTTTATCAGTTTAAACCCATCAAGTCATAACAGTTTATCGACCAATACGCTTCTATTTGTCAATAAAATAGCGTTGTTCTCATATCATAGAGTTTCCAATTCCAATAAACATCTCTAAGACGTTTTTTGTTTTAAAATAAGTTAAGCAGCAGCGTAAGTTTCTTCATGCAATAACTTTAAACTTTTTCATTAGTCTTTTTTTTAAAATGATTTTTGTTAATCTTAGCTTAGTTGGGCCCGAAAATATTTCACAGGAGGATCTCAAAACTAGTTATGCCACTGGAGATTTATTGAAACAAACGCAATATCAAAACTGATTAATAGTGTTGGATCCTAATATTAATTATTAAATAGTACAACACGTAAAATCAACAGTGTTTTTTTAAATCTTTTCACACTTGCGGACCGACAAATATAGGAATAATATTTCGAGGACCTGCAAAAAGCTAAAGATAAATTTTCTTAGACTTAAACTTCTTAGACGCGGGTGACACGCGCGACTGTCGTAACTGACCATAACACGACACTGGTTACAGTGCATTGCAATGGTGTTGCTACCCTTCGCACGTCATCACTCGCTTACGAGTCACGCGCGGTCGTAATAAAATAAGAATTTTTGCTACATGTCACCAACAAGCGATCTGACGCAATACTGCAACGCCTATTAAGTGTAACATCAGGGATGTAAGGTGTGGGTAATTTATCACGAGACTGACACTAATTTAATAAATGTCATGCACAAATGTAATTGGAATGTAATTTGAAAAAAATTCCCACTGTCTGTCTATCCTTAATCTCGAGAACGGAGTTAGATAGATGAAAGCCGTGACCAGATATGGAAACGATAGAAACACGAGACCCTGATAAACTATATAGAAACTTTCTATTCAAATAGGAAGTCACGTTATTTCAATTTAAACATTTTCCTTTGAAAGATATTAGCTAGATGACAGGCTCGACTCTATTCTTAAGGGAAAGCATGATGTACAGGGGCAAGCCACTATTCATTTGAAGTGGAGAGCATACATTTTAAATTAAATAAATTAAAAATATGATTAAAAATTTCAGTCTGGTATTGTGACGATGTCGCAATAAATAATTGTTCGTTATTTTATAAATTTTTTAATTATTATTATTATATAGTAATTAGAGTATTATCTAATCATTTTAATAAAATTACGATTTATAATAAACTTTATTTAAAACAATTGCAAGTTACTTTGTTATTACAAAATTTCCTGCCAGTCTACGAAATTTTTCGCGGACCCAACGTTGAAAAACACTGTTATAAGGAAACACGACAGAGATACACGAGACAAATGCTAAATTGAAGGGCACTTCAATTTAATTTTTTTTACACATAGTGTTTGTTGTAGGTGTGGCCGGAAAAACTGTTGCGAAGTCTCAGTTGCAAGTCTCAGTCAAGATAGCAACTGTGTAGAGGAAGAAACAGGGTATTCTTTGGTTTGCTAAATTTGAATCTAATCCTTACGTGGCCTGAATATCGGGTGTTTCCACGTTCTCTGTTTAGTTAAACAACTATCGGACAGCCTAAACATATTCTGTTCAAATAGGTCTATCGGATAGAACACGTTTAAGAATCTGATTTTAATCAGGAATAACATTTATACTAAATATAAGTAGCTGCTTTATATAATATAATAGAACAGTATTAGTATAACAGAACATGACATATCAGCTATACAGGTTGTTTCATTTTATTTAGTCAATCAAAATATCTCGAACATTACGCATTGTAAGAAAAAATAGATGTTCTAGACCAGAGTTTCCCAACCGGGGTTACACGAAAAAATTAATAATGGCGGATGTAATTACTGTAAGAATATTCGGATTCTGCGTCGAGACCTTTGGCGATGTCACAGCACTCGATGCTTAGTTTTAAATAAACAAATAATTATATATTTTTAATCATATTTATCTATGCTCTTCCTCTAACGCTTTTCGATTAAAAAAAAACAAAACAAACTTCTTTTACATGTAATTATTCAGCGCTGTATAATTAATTGACCAAGGCGCCACTGTTTGGCGAACACGCGAAATAAAACTTAGGAAAATGGGCTGCCAAAAAAGGTTGGGAACCGCTGTTTTAGACCGAAAATGTTCTGCATTTAGGGGACACAAGATAATAACACTAACGATGTCATCACAGATGGCGCTACAGTCGCTTTCTTAAATGGCACACAAGATTGTTTTTATTGCATATTATGGTTTTGCAATAAAAATGAACACGTTTTTATCTAAAATATTTTTTGAAAATTCACTTATGAGCGTTTGACGCGGAACGCTTGCACCATACACAGCCACTACACGGTGCACGAGTGAATCTCTAGGCATCTGTTATGTTCATTGAAATAAACGAAGAAAATGTTTAAAAAAAAAAAACATTAAGAAACTATTATTATTTGATAGAACCAAGATCAATGTCTTGTCTTTATCAGAATCTTGATGGTTTTAATACGCTGTGGCATTAAAGTTCATTATTTGAAGAAAAATAATTTTTATAATGATTACAAGTTAGAAATATATTTATTTCCCATATATAATGAAAATATTTAAATATATGTAACCGTGGTTATCGAAATGCTGCTTTTCTTGAACCTTGCTGTGACTTCCTCATACTTCTATCATTTTATTTTATTTTATTTATAAACTTGTTAAATATAACTGACACGTATGTAAGATGTTTATAAGTTTTTTGACTATTATGTAGTGTGTTATACAAACGGATTGTAAGCGTATCTCATAACTTGATCAGGCAATGAAAGTTAAGGTTACGTTCGTAAAGTCAAAGAAGATAAACGAATGTTAATGTAACCTGCCATAAAGTACTGTACAAGTAAAGCAACATTGATAATTACTATGCAATATAGTTGACTATGGTATATTTATTATACTTGTATATAATGTAAAATACCGTTGTAACAAAGGATGCGGCTTTAGTGTAAAAACTGAAATTTGCTTTAAAATGTTTTTAGTGAATGTATAAAGAATAAAAGTTCAATGTATGATAATCACCATTTCTATTATTACTATGAATAAATTATTTATTCTTTCGCCTATTTAGTCATACCACTAGGAATAATGCAACCTCCGTATTATGCACATGGAGCTCCAAAGTAAGTATATAAATTGTAACAACAAAAGTAAAAAAGTTTTATTAAAAAAGTACGATATATATTACGTATATAATCTGGAAATCTTTGTTGACAGGTATCTAAATTATGCAGGAATTGGCAACATAATTGCCCATGAAATTTCTCATGGATTTGATAGTTTGGGTTTGTAATATAAGTTTGAAGTATTTTATACAATATTTTTATTTTATATTACCGTGACGGCACTCTGGTATTAACAGGAATTAAAACATATAATAGAATCTCGAATACCTATTATGATTCATTTTTTCGATTAACACCTTTAGGGAACATACTTAAATAATATATACATGAGTCTTTTGTCACAATGTTAAAACTTTGATATTTAAATAAAATACATATAAATTGAAACAAGAGTCGTAAACGACATAATTAATTTGATTCTTAATTGATGATTAATATATTTCAGATAGGTTACAAAAGAAAGCGAGTGTGGAAGAAAATAAACAGGAAATTGAATGGTCGGAACAGTTTTTGCAGGAATTCGAAAAGCGAACAAAATGTTTTATTAATCAATATTCTCAGTTCATTCTAGAAGGAAACATAACCGTAAGTAATTAATTAAACTATAAAACAATTTAAATTGTTAATATATACTTTATATATTTTCAGTTAAACGGTAACAAAACTATAAAAGATGACTTATCAGACAATAGTGCCGTCGTTCAATCTTTTCGAGTAAGTGTTTGATATATTTTTTCTTTTAAATTGAGATCCTGAAAACTTAAGCTTCCTTAATTATCGTAGAATTAATGGTAAACTGTAAATAAAGTGTCATAAACAGGTTTGAAACTTTTAATGGCAGCCACTGAAAACAAAATACAGATGAAATAAAACTAGAACACTAATGGGAAAACCTCACTAGGAAATTATTATAGTCTATATATATTTTCACTTAACGACAATAGTTTTGACAAATTTACTTAAAAGAGTATCATTAAAATCTCATTTTATCAGTTTTACAATATTATTCTGACGTTTATATTAGTTTAAAAACGGATTTTACTTTTACTAATTGACAATTAATATTGTAGGCTTACGAAAAATATCTCCAACAATACGGCGAAGAACCCAAGCTTCCAGGACTTAATTTTACAAATAAGCAAATGTTTTTCATCGGATTTGCTCAGGTATTTTACAGTACCTTGATTCATTTTATAATAATTGATCCATTTATCTTACTGTCCTGTGGTAGTACGAAAGAGTATGTGTATATAAAGACATAGAACCAGGTTATATCTTATTATATGTTCTGTTGCCTTTAAGTTGAAGATTTAGCGACTCAGCTTAAATTCTGTTTTATTTACCAATAAACAATAAATGGATAACTCAACTTTATTTATTGGTTAACAAAATAGTATTGTAAAAAATGGCCTTAATCCTTAACTTGAATATAACACAACATATGATTGTTTTATTATCAAATTATACCAAATGAAACTTTTTAACGTTTTAAATCATTTTCTTACAGACCATTTCAATAAAAACTTTTCATTGTGATTAGCTAATATACCCATTTTTTATATTACACAGAAAAACTGTGAGAAGCTGGAATTTGCAAGAATATTTTATGAAAAAGATTATCATAGTCCGAGTAGATACAGGTAAAATATTATACATGTATTTATTTCTATATTATAAAAATTGTAATTTACAGATTAGAAATACTTATATATATGTATATATAAATATATGATTATATTTTTCAGGACTTTAATTCCTTTAATGAATTTCCCAGAATTTTCGAAAGTTTTTGATTGTCCTAAGAACAGTAATATGAATCCCGAGAAAAAATGCATTATGTGGGGATAGATTATTGTAATATATACTTAAAGGAATGTAATTAAAATATTTATTTTTACAATTAATAATGTTTAAATTCATTAGTTAAAATGAAGATAAAACAAAATATATTGATGATTGTCAATTACTTATTTTTAAATTTATTGGAATTATTTCATTTTATTTTCTTTGAAGTTTTATAAATATCTATTTGAAGTTTTCTCTTCTGAAAATAAATTTATTGATTATTTTATATAACTCCAATTTGTATAGAATAAAGTATTGAATAAAGTAGTTTTGATAAGATGCACGATTTTTATTGCTTATAAAAACTTTTTAAATGTTTTAAATCTGATTAATTAAAATGCTTTAGTATTTTAAGTATTATTATTTGTTGAGAGAATCACAATTTGCTATTAAGTGACTCGATTTAATGTGGAAATGGTAGTGAAAACAAAGTTTAGCATTTAAAAAAGTATATTCACATTTTTTAAATATTATATGGAGAGACAACTATATAAATTCATATGACATTTTTCAAATCGTTATTATCGGTGTATCAGTTTAATATTTAACACGGAACACGCAAAACACTTTAAAATTTGTCGCATAGTTCAATTATTATTTAAAAGATGGCGACACTTTATTATACTAAAGGCATCGTTGATTATTATTTTATTTCGTTGACTTAACTCTGGGTTTCTTATTTATCGGTTCTTTGCTTGTCCCGGGATTTCGAGAAAAAATTGATCTGTTTTCCAGGATATAATTAATTATTTTTAAACTATAAAATAAATCTCGAAATCGAATGATATAATTATTTTTCATTTTTTAAGTAATTTAATAAGTCCTGCAACTTCCAAAATAACAATATTAATGTTGTGTAAAATATGTATTAAAAATTATCTTTGAGTTACGTAGAAATTTTCACAAATAGAAACAGTTTATTAAAGTTTGTTGGAAACTGCTTACAACAAAAATGCCTTAAATTGAGTTGAAAATTTAAAGAAATAAAAAAGAACTTAGATCAAACTTCTAAGTTAGATTTTTAAATTAGTTTTAAATAAAACCTATTATAAAAATTTACAATAATAATATTAAGATTTTAAAAAGCAAAGATGGTCAATACTCCGATTACTAAATTTGATTTTTATTTTAGTCCTGCTCCCTTTTCGATTTAATTGATGTGGGTAGAATCGTCTTTAATTCATTTAAGAGAAGACGAATGTTATGTGTTTTTTCACTCATAGACTGGAAAATTTCTAGTTTGTTTTCGAGACGCGTTGCAGTACTTCTTTTGCCGTCTAGTATTCTTGATTTGTCTGTCTCGGCTTTTTAATAGAGGCATCGAGCTTATAGCCCGATAATTCGGCAGTTCGTTTGGCTTCAATAATCAGGTTTATAAAGAAAAACTTCATACTTCGTAGTCGTTTATATCCTTGCCCAATTTACACTACTTGGCTTAATGCAGTTATTGAAGCTACTGGGCGTAGTTAAAAATTAAGACAGCATCGACGCAATTATTCCAGATATTACAGGTTCCGACAAGTAAAGAATTTTCAGTTTTGCCACAAATAGGCTACATATTGATTATTAACAATCTGTTACATGCCATAACAAGCAAAAATTACAAAACTAATAAGCGGACTTAAAATTAATAAATACAAATGTATTCTGGCAGTTTATGAGTTAATTATACTTTCTATTTGCAAAATTTCCCAAACCTTAACACACACACAAAAAAGTGAACATTTAAGAAATTTGCGGGATTTCCTGGGTTAAAAAACAGCCGGAATTCCGTTAGAGAAGCCCTAATTAACTTCAACTTACTGATCAAGTATTTAATTTGAATGATTAAAAACTATTAAAAAATGTTTACAAATTTTAATTAATTTAACTTTTTAGTTTATGAGCGATTAATATCCCTAACAATCAAATTAATCTGATTATAAGGAATTATTTTGTTTAATGGGAAATCTGCTGCTGTTCATTTGATAAAACTTTCCTATCCAATGTTCATAATTAGTCTCCTTTTAAGACTTTTCACGGCAGCTTTAAGACCCTGCTTTTATACTGCATATGCACAGTTGAAAAATCTATCAAGTGATTATTTTTATGCGATTTATTTGACCGGATATAGTTAGCTCTAAATTTAACAGATCCCGATTTAAAGGACTTCAAATATAACGAACAAAAATTTCTGTCTTACCGGTAAAATTTAAAACCATTTTGCTTTAATTAAAAGTCATTCTTTAATACTTTTACTTTCCCGGATCTTTTATATATAATGGAGAGAAAGTATGGCGATCGGTCAAAAAATAATCCTTTCCAAGACTTTATATTTTTGTATACAGGAGACCTTGAAACGTCGAGAAATGCAAATAAAATTAATAATTTCTGTATGCATGAATATTACTGTGTGTGAGATGGCACGATTTTGTTCACCCTGTTTGAAGCTTAATAACTCCTGTGCTTTTTGTCGAAAATTTCTGAAATTTTGCAGGGAGGTTTGTTTATTAGGGAAATTGATGCTATTGAATTTTAGTGGTTAAAGGCAATGTTCCCTCTAAGCTGCGCGGCTGCGCGGTCGCGCACTGCTCAAATTGTTGCCGCACACGAGAATTTATGTGCCGCACAGACGAGCATGCACATCTATTTGAATTGTTTACTTATTTCTCACTCTGGAACATGATAATTGCTGCGTATATTTCGATTAAATACATTAAATCATTGACAAAAGATAATATTTCGTATAAAAGTATGTTTTAAAATGAATTTTAATCTCTACTTTATAATTAATTATTTTAAATTTTTTAGAAAAAAAAAATAAGATTTTATTTAGGCCTATATATATAGGGGAGACCGAGGCAAGTTCGTCTTCTCAATTTTCTCAGGAATAAAATAAAAGGAGACTCTGGCTTTAGGTTAGGCAGTTGAGTTTTATTGGTGGCTTGTTGAGTGCAGTGTTTGTATCATTTCTACTTATGTAATCATTTACCATAATCCTTAAACCTTTATCACCATAATATTTGTGGTATTATGGTGATAAAGGTTTAAGGAGGGTCGAGCATATATATATATGCTCAGAAAAATTTTTTGCTCAGAATCTGCTCAGTAAATTTTTTTTTGCTCAGAGAAGTATATGTTCCGCTCATCGACAAAAAAATTAGAGGGAACATTGGATAAAGGTCGAGAGGTGGTGAGATTGTGTGGTGTGTATCGTATCTCGAGTGGGGTCGGATTTAATGACGATTTTATTTGTTATTATCATTTAGTTTTTATGCTGATAATCTATAAAATAATATATGGGAGAAAAATAATGACTATAGTTTTTATTGTAGTTGTTCAAATAAGAAAAAGTATATTGGGGAAACCAAGAGAACGTTTTAGTGAAAGAAGGTTAGGAGAACATGTAAGGCCAATTAAAACTAATTTGTATTTTGTCATTCAATCCTACTGATGTTTAGATCTAACATTAAGCAGGCAAACACGAACAGTAACAAAAAAGAACTTTATTAGAAAAGGTTAGAACTGTCACAGACATCCTCGGGCAACACCCGGACAAAATCCAACGAACTTTCGCGCCTTTTCTTTTTTGACGTTGCCAGCCACTCTTGTTGGCAAGTGTTGCCAGACAGAGTTCGTGATCTTGGCAAGTGTTGCCAGACAGTGTTCAGGATCTCTGGCGCTGGCGGCCACA